AATCCATACAACTTTGATATCTGTACAAAAATTTCAGACGAGAATTTGCTTTTTTTACAACTGATTCTACTAAAGATGAAAATGAAATTGCGCTAGCCAACTCAATGCCTAAATACTTCACAGACTCTTTTCTCTTGATTGCTTGATTATTGTGTGTCACTTTGAATTCAAATGACTTTTTAGAACTACTTTTAGAACAAAATAAAATGCTTTCTGTTTTTCCCAAGTGTAAAGAAAGCTTATTATCAGTCATCCAATCGACACACGTAGACAGCTGTTCACTGAGTTTTTCCTCAATATATTTAGGATCAGGATTTGAATAGAGTAGTACGCTGACATCTGCGTACAATGATAGTTTGAAGTCTTTTATACAAATACACATATCATTTATATAACTTGAAAATAGAATTGGGCCTAAAATGCTTCCCTGAGGAACACCGCAAGTTATAGGCATTAGTTTGGAACGAATATCATGATTGGCCACTACTTGGTGCCGATTAGATAAGTAGGATCTAAACCAATCTAAACTTGCCTTATCAAAACCCATTAGTTGTAACTTCTTCAATAAGACGCAATGATTAACTGTATCAAAAGCTTTTTGCAGATCAAGGAGCACCATACCAACAAAGCGCCCTTGGGAAGTTTCTCTCCTCAAATAATCAGTCAAATGAATTAGACATGTTTCAGTCGAATAATCATGTCGAAAACCAGATTGAAATTCATAAATTATATCATTTTCTTTGAAGTATCTTTCAATTTGAACACAGACCGATTTTTCTAGAATCATGAATCATTATTGTAACTCCGGAGGTGAGTCTCACCTCCCTGTTGATATTTTACACCTGGGCCCCGTCTTACAAAGAGTTGCAACTTATTTGCGACTCTGTACGATGATAAGAGATAGCAGACCGCAAACTTGCGATTGATTGGAGGACTTACAATTGATTTGGTTGTTTGTAAGACAGGGCCCTGCATGGCCAGCGCGTAGCCAGGGGGCGGTGGGGGCGGTGGGGCGGTCGCCCCCTCCCCCCCCCCCCCCAAAAAAAAACGCCGGCCAAGAAAAAAAGAGAGAGAAAGAGAAGAAAAAAGAAAGAAAGAGGACGTAGGAAGAAAAAGGGAAAAGGAGTCGAGAACGGTACAACGAATCGTCAAAGCTTCCGCGCTTTGCGCCGGAAGGGTGAAACTGAGTTCAAATTAAGGATTAAGAGTCGGGAAAGGTACAACGAATCGTCTTCTTTCTATAATAATTAAATGAAACGTCAAAGCTTCGCGTGAGAGGGGGACTGAATACAGACAAGGATTAAGAGTCGGGAAAGGTACAACGAATCGTCTCCTTTCTCTAATAATTTAATGAAACATCAAAGCTTCGCGCGAGAGGGGGAGGGACTGAATTCAGACAAGGATTATGAGTCGAGAAAGGTACAACGAATCGTCTTCTTTCAAAGCTTCCGCCTCCCTGCACCCACCCCTAGGGAGCGCGATTCACGCGATCTTTAAGACTGATTCGCACGCTTCGCGTGCTCACTACCGCCCCCCTAAAATGAAATCCTGGCTACGCGATGGTGCATTGCTAAAAGATTGATACACAAGCCTGACATATGGTTTGCATTGGTTTAGACTTAGTTCATGAGCCTGGCTCCCCTGACTGCACTTACGCGATTGGCGTATTCTTTGAAGAATTGTTATAGAGACAGTTTAACTGTGATGAGAACTTGACAACCTTTACTCCTTTAGTACGTCACTATCGACTTCGTTAAAATAATCGTTTGAAAAACATCATACATGGTTGGCCTGTTATTGGAGCCAAATCAATATCAGGGCAAATTGAGCGGGCCCTGGAACCCCGGCCGACAGGGACTTCGTGCATCGTGCTTGTGATTTCAGGATGACTGGATGAGTGCTTCAACGCCCCCCCCCCCCGGGCAGTGGCGGATCCAGGGGGGGGGGGGCCGGGGGGCCCGGGCCCCCCTCCCCCTTGAGAAAAAAATCATGTAAAATCACGTGATTTTTACCTTTTTGGGGGTTGGGCCACCCCCCCTGGCGCTCAAAGGGGGGGCGCAAATTGAAATTTTTTTGAGGATAAAAAAAAAAAAAAAAATGTGCTCACTACCCCCCCCCCCCCCCCCCCCCCCCCCCCTCCCCACTGAGCGACTTTTCGGCCGGCGCGATTTTCAAATTTTCGGGAGCAAAAAAAAAAAAGTTGGGCTCCCTCCCCTAAGAAATCCTGGATCCGCGCTGCCCCCCGGCCCCCACATCAAAAAATCATCTGTAGTATACGCCTGTGATCTACAATGTCTATTTTATCAGGAACCTATAATCTACAAGCACCGCTTTTTAATAGGTTCCCCCGGTAGGTTCCTCATATTTTACTTAATCTGCCATGTGAATTGAGTATCCTTGTAACGTGCTTATATAACATAATACATTATATGCCTTCTATTTCATGTGTCTGTCTATATTTATTGTTGAATGTAGAGGGGAAAAAAGAAACGTGAAAACTTAAAATGCAAGGAAACCCCAGATGTTTTAAAGCTAGGATATCGAAATTCACGATATTGGATAGAATAACCCCCTCAAACACCCTCTCCTGTTCGGTTGCTTCGCTACCTCACGGGGTCACATTAATGATGCCATCCAATTTTAAAACACAACCCTTTAAAAAACATCCTGCGTACGCCACTGATTGCAATAATGTACGTGTGTGGTGGCAGGGCTGGCGGTGCCCTCCCGGCCTGTGGTAGCGACGTTCCCGAACAATAACTATATTAAACAAATACTTACCTATGTATTTTGATGATTAAATGACATTTACGAGAGGAAAAAAAAGTTTTTTTTTTTTTTTTTGGGGGGGGGGGGGCTCTCGAAAATTTTAAAAATCGCACCCCCCCCCCCCTTGAGCGCCAGGGGAGGGGGCCCATCTCCAAAGGTAAAATTAACGTGTTTTTACTTGGTTTTTTCCCTGGGGAGGGGGTCCGGGCCCCCCGCCACCCCCCCCCCCCTGGATCCGCCACTGGTTACAACAATATCATTACCAGGATTATACACATTGCCTAACGCTTTATAAAATAAATGCAAATAAAACATTTAGACGTATGATCCTATCACTCATCCGTTCAATATAAAACTAAAAACAAAATGTTTAAAGTCCAAAGGTTGATGGGGAAACACGACTTTGGCGACCGAGTCAAAAATATTAGTGTCTATTTGAGTCAATATACAAAGTCATAGAAAATATAAGCATACACTGGGAACATACCAGGGTAGGCTTACCCCGATATATCAGGTATCCTTATTCTAGTAACATGCAAAGAACTGTTGTATTTATCAATACGTGTCTTTGCATAATTAGACGGCCTGCTAAATAAACCATCTTGTGCACAGCTGATTAGAAAATATGGTCCGGAAAGTGGTATTTGCGTTCCCTCTCGTTTTAAGCATCCTGCTCTGTTCTGTTGAGAGTAGAGGAACACCCTTCGTGGACACCCAGAATGGTCGAATCTTGGGTAGGACCATCGAAGTCACACCTTGGCAGATTCCAGATAGTGAGACCATTGTGGTGGAGGCATACACCAAGATCCCTTATGCTGAGTCTCCGGTTGGAGAGCTGAGGTACAAACATCCTGTCAAGAAAGTTTGGACGGGAGAGGTAGACGCCACCAAACCAAACGTTGCTTGCCCTCAAGTCCCTTTGATAGGATTCACTGTAGAAATGGAAGAGACAGAGGATTGTCTGTACTTGGATGTCTTTGTGTCGTCACCACGGGCAAGTATAGGAACACAGAAATCGAGTAACACCTTTATCATTGAACAGCGGGGTATCCTCAAAGGACAGTGTATAGGCCCGTATCCGGACACCTACCCCCTAGGAGTCCCTAGGGTAACCACCCTCTAGGTCGACTACCCCCGGGACAACTACCCCCTATACGACAACCATCCTCTAATACAACTTCCACCGGACAACTATCCTAGGGGGGTAGTTGTCCGGGGGTGGTTATCGCGGGGGTAGTCATCCTAGCGCAGTGGCGTACGCAATTTTTTTTCAAAGGGGGGGGGGGGGTTAAAATCGGGCCAAAAATTTCGCAACGACTCAGCCAGCCGATTCAGCGGGGGGGGGGGGGGTAAAGTCACCTTTTTTTAGGTCAGCCATTGCCATAATTTTGTTTTGTTTTGTTTTTGTTTTTTTAAATAAAAACAAACAAATCAAAAGGGGGGGTTCCCCCCCAAAAAACGCAAAACATACACATAACAAAAACTCAAGGGGGGTTTAACCCCCCCCCCACCTGCGTACGCGCCTGTCCTAGAGGATGGTTGCCCTAGGGGGTAGTTGTCCTAGGGGGTAGTTGACAGGAGGTGGTTATCTGGGGGTGAATGTCCAGGGGGTAGATGTCCTAGAACCATATAAAGACGTTGATCATGATCAGTGGACTATAGTCAAAATGAAGACATTAGATGGAATTTGGTAAAGTCTTGCTCAAAATATTTAAAAAAAAGAATGCAGACTATAGTCCACTGATCATGATCAACGTCTTTATATACCTCCAATCGATTCGAGAGACACTTGAACATCCAATAGTCCTGTAATAAACAACGTATCATGTAAGATGAATGTGCTTCCTATACTGCGTTTGTCCTATCCCCCACCCCCTCCCCCTCCATGCAAACAGTTTTCTACAGATTTTATTGACTTGCTGGGAAACAAATCAAAAATACAATTAAATCTACAGGTACGTCTTCAACAATAATATTATTATCAAAAGTTTCTCCTTTTTTATATACATTTTTTACGAAAATATCTTCAGCTATAGTACTCATACTTATAATAAGAACCAAACCTTTAAACAAAAATTGTCAAAATATTACAGCCCAAGTCAGCGGCTGTGATGGTGTGGATTCATGGAGGAGGGTTTCGCGCAGGTGCAGGATCGGTACCTGAACAACTTCCTATACCATTATCATTTTATGGAGAAGTCATTGTCGTCACTTTCAATTATAGACTTGGAATGCTGGGATTCTTGAATACAGGTGAGATAAGGTAAAGGCAAAGGGAATTTGAAAAAATAAAGAAAAAAGTGGTAGATAAATTTATTAGTAAGAGAAGAACAAGAGAGAGAGAGAGTGTGTGTGTGTGTGAGAGAGAGAGAGAGAGAGAGAGAGAGAGAGAGAGAGATAGAGGGGGGTGGAGGGGGTAGAAAGGAGGGGAGAGAGAAACGAATGATTAAATAAAGTGGAAACAAGACGAAGCCAAAGATCATAATAGATTATTTAGGTAGTAAAAAAATGATGATGATTATACTGATGGTGATGATAAAGGAGAACAAGGAGTTGTAAAAGAAGAGAGAGAAGAAGGAGAAGTAAAAGGAGGACGAACAGTTTCCTAAGCTTTAGGCTCACCCAAAGGCTATCATCATCATCTTCGTAATGAAATGATTTCTTTAGAAATAAATTGGAATTTGAAGACAATGTAACCGATTCGAACAAAACAAAACACCTTCAATTTCCAGTTTCAAAGATCATCTTCTTATATTAAAAACAAAAATCTATGACATATATTTAGATGTTTTAATAAAAAAAATATGAGTTGTATGCAGCCCTGCACTTTAACAGGAATCAACTTATATTTGGATGTCACCGGACCTTTAAGTCAACCATCGGTTATTTATTTTTATTTTTGAGATTACTTTATGCAGATGTCGGGAAGCTTGGTTTTCTTTCTTATCATCATAGTCCTATTTGTATTTGAACATATTTACAGGTGACGGAGAACTTCCAGCCAACCTTGGGATGTTTGATCAGCGGGAAGCACTCACATGGGTTCAAGAAAACGTAGCAGGTACATGACAGTTCATAACATGACACTTGACCAACTTGCATAAAACCTTACAAAATAGTATAAGCTCGCTTGTAGTTATGAGAGTTTAGGAGCGCTTTGTCAAAAGGTTTTTTTTTCCTCTTGGCAAAAATAAACTTGCTTGCAGGTGAAGTAACAATTGAGAATTTTTCGTTGGTCCAGACCAGCTACTGTACTTGTGATGTCCGTTTCTATTTTTAAAATTTAACATCAAGCAGGGGCGTAAATCCCGGGGGGATGGGGGGGGGGGCTGCATCCCCACTGGCTTGAAGTAGGGGGATGGCCTGTACAATCATCCCCCCTGATATTGCAACAACAAAAAGAGAGAAAAAAAAAGGAAGAAGAAGAAGAAGAAGAAGGAGAAGAAAAAAATGTGATTGTTTCAATTTTAGCATAATACATGAGAAAAGAGTTATTTTTTTAATGTAAGTATAACTGTATAGCCTACACGGATATAGTATGTCACGATCATTAAGAGTAGTTGCGCGACGTGCGCGAACAAGCACTTCATAAACTTTAGAATAGTTTTTCGTTATTTTGCAAGGTATTATTATAGCCCAGACGTAAAGTGCGCCAGCGTTTAAAAGTGCAATCATGTACAGTAAATGCCCGGCTCCCCCACTTAGTATTATTTAGGGTACGCGTACGCTCGTTCCCGCCCTTTAAAAGCACACCCCCCCCCCCAACCGGACTGCCAACATTTCTGAATCCCCCTTTCGCCGGCTTTTCGCTGGCTTTTCCTACCTTGGAGACCCCCCCCCCAAATCCGGAACACTGCTAAATGTACAACCCCCCCCCCCCCCCATTTCAGGTGAGCTCTAGTCGATCGAGGGGGACTGGGGGCCAATGCTTTTACTTTTCAAATGAAATAATCCTGAATGAGCTTTCAAAGCTAGCAGGAATTTTAGGAATTTGATCCCGGGATTTAATCAATTTTTCTATGATATTCAAGATAGAATGGTACAACGAATCGTCTTCTTTCTCTAATGATTTAATGAAACGTAAAAGCTTCCGCGCTTCGCGCAGAAGGTGGGGGGGGGGGGGGGGGGGGAGGGAAAAAACTGAATTCAGATGAGGATTAAAAGTCGAGAACGGTACAACGAATAATCTTCTTTCTCTAATGATTTAATGAAACGTAAAAGCTTCCGCGCTTCACGCGGGAGGGGGGAGGGAAAAACTGAATTCAGATGAGGATTTAAAGTCAAGAACGGTACAAGGAATCGTCTTCTTTCTCTAATTATTTAATGAAATGTAAAAGCTTAGGCGCTTCGCGCGGGAGGGGAGGCGGGAACTGAATTCAGACGAGGATTAAGAGTCGAGAACGGTATAACGAATCGTCTTCTTTCTCTATTGATTTAATGAAACGTATAAGCTTCCGCGCTTCGCGCGAGAGGGGGGGGGGAACTGAATTCAGATGAGTATTAAAAGTCGAGAACGGTACAACAAATCATCTTCTTTCTCTAATGATTTAATGAAACGTAAAAGCTTCCGCGCTTCGCGCAAGAGGGGGGAAGGGAAAAACTGAATTCAGATGAGGATTAAAAGTCGAGAACGGTACAACGAATCGTCTTCTTTCCCTAATGATTTAATGAAACGTAAAAGCTTCCGCGCTTTGCGCGGGAGGGAAGGGGGGGAACTGAATTCAGACGAGGATTATTTTCGAGAACGGTACAACGAATCGTCTTCTTTCTCTAATATTGTTTGTTGTTTGTTCGTTTGTGTGTGTGTGTGTGTGTGTGTGTGTATGGTGGCACTGAAGGGTCATCGCGAATAGACTAAATCGTGAAAAATATGCGATAAAATTCACGATATCGTCAATTTTATCGCATATTTTTCACGAAGAAATTCACGAAATTGACGATATCGTGAACTTTATCGTGAACTTTTCACGATGAAATTGACGATATCGTGAATTTTATCGTGAAAAGTTCACGATATAAAGTTCACGATATCTTCAATTTTATCGTGTACTCTATCGTGTACTCTATCGTGTACTCTCCTGACGGGCGCTTCGTAAACAAAACCAGCCCTAGCTGGGGGAGACAGAGAGAAGGAAAAAAGGGAAAGGGAAAGAGAAGATAAAAGGAAAGAAAGAATAATAAGAAGAAAAGAGGGAAACGGGGGGGGGCGAAGGGCTCTTGCCTCCTCCTCACTCCCCCCCCCCCCCCTCCCCGCCAAAAAATAAATCAGAGAGAGAGAAGGGAAGGGAAAGGGAAAGAGAAGATAAAAGGAAAGAAAGAAGAGGAAGAAGAAGAAAAGAGGAAAACGGGAAAGGGCGAAGGACTCTTGCCCCCCCCCTCCCCCCCCCCGCCAAAAAATAAATCAGAGAGAGAGAGAGAGAGAAGGGAAAGGGAAAGGGAAAGAGAAGATAAAAGGAAAGAAAGAAGAGGAAGAAGAAGAAAAGAGGGAAACGGGGGCAAAGGGCTTTTGCCTCGTCCCCCCGCCCCCCGCCAAAAAATAAATAAGAGAGAGAGAGAGAGAAGGAAAGGGAAAGAGAAGAAAGAAAGAGAAAAACGAAAAAGAGGGAGAATAGGAAAGAAAGGAAAAGAAAGAAAGAAAGGAGGCAAGAGCCCTTCGCCCCTGTTTCCCTCTTTTCTTATTCTTTTTCCTCTTCTTTCCTTTTATATTTTCTTTCCCTCTCCCTTCTCTTTCCCTTTATGGCGGGAGGGGGGAGGGGGAGGTAAGAGCCTTTCGCCCTTCCCCCGTTTCCCTCTTTCCGTCTTCTTCTTCTTTCTTTCCTTTTATATTTTCTTTCCCTTTCCCTTTCCCTTCTCTCTATCTCTCTCTCTCTCTCTCCTATTTATTTGTTGGCGCGGGAGGGGGGAGGAGGCAAGAGCCCCTCTTTTCTTCTTTTTCTTCTTCCTTCCTTTTTTATTCTCTTTCCCTTTCCCTTCTCTCTCTCTCTCTTATTTATTTTTTGGGCGGGGATGCAAGAGCCCTTCGCCCCCGTTTCCCTCTTTTCTTCTTCTTCTTCCTCTTCTTTCTTTCCTTTATCTTCTCTTTCCCTTTCCCTTTCCCTTCTCTCTCTATCTCTTATTTATTTTTTTGGCGGGGGGTGGGGAGGGAGGAGGCAAGAGCCCTTCGCCCTTCCCCCGTTTCCCTCTTTCTTCTTATTCCTCTTCTTTCTTTCCTTTTATATTTTCTTTCCCTTTCCCTTCTCTCTCTTATTTATTTTTGGCGGGGGGGGGGGGTGGGAGGAGGCAAGAGCCCTTCGCCCTTCCCCTGTTTCCCTCTTATTCCTCTTCTTCTTCCCTTTCCCTTCTCTCTCTCTCTCTCTCTCTCTCTCTATTTATTTTTTTGGCGGGGGGGGGGGGGGGGGGGGGGGTAAGAGCCTTTCGCCCTTCCCCCGTTTCCCTCTTTCCTTCTTCCTCTTCTTTCTTTCCTTTTATATTTTCTTTCCCTTTCCCTTTCCCTTCTCTCTCTCCTTATTTATTTTTTGGCGGGGGGGGGGAGTGAGGAGGAGGCAAGAGCCCTTCGCCCCCCCCCCCCCCCCGTTTCCCTCTTTTCTTCTTATTATTCTTTCTTTCCTTTTATCTTCTCTTTCCCTTTCCCTTTTTTCTTCTCTCTGTCTCCCCCAGCTAGGGCTGGTTTTGTTTGCGAAGCGCCCGTCAGGAGAGTACACGATAGAGTACACGATAGAGTACACGAGAAAATTGACGATATCGTGAACTTTATATCGTGAACTTTTTACGATAAAATTCACGATATCGTCAATTTCGGGAATTTCTTCGTGAAAAATATGCGATAAAATTGACGATATCGTGAATTTTATCGCATATTTTTCACGATTTAGTCTATTCGCGATGTCCCTTCAGGGCCACCATTATGTGTGCGTTTATGGTGTGTGTGTGTGTGTGCGCGTGTGTGTGCGTGTGCGTGTATGTGTGTGTGTGTTTGTGTTTGTGCGCGATCGCGCGCGCTTGCGTAAATTAGTGTGGGCGTGTGCTCGTGCTAGTATGTGATGGCTATCGCCGATCATCCCCCCCCCCCCCCCACTCCTCGGTACAGATTTACGCCCCTGACATCAAGTACCACCTCGTTGCCCCAACATACTACATAATTAGGAATGACTGGTTGCCCGAATAGTGGACGTTTCAAAATCCTCGGACCAGCAATCCCTATCACCCACCCTCTACTCTCAGCCCCTGTATAAAATACATCACGTATTTTCTTCTTTTTATACTCTTTGCAGCTTTTGGAGGTGATCCTGCACGGGTTACTATATTTGGTGAGAGCGCTGGAGGTACGAGTGTTAATTTTCATCTTGTATCACCGCTTAGTGCTGGACTGTTTAATGGTGCTATACTACAGGTTCGTAAACTTTAAAAAAACACAATAGTAACCTAAAATGATACTGTGATGCACGGTATCTTTTGCACTGAACCTAGCTATATATGATAATTAGTTCTAATAGGCCGAACGTTCTGGTTCCGATTGACAAGTATTGTTTTGTTTTTCTCCACTCAATATATACTCTCCATGATCTCTGGGAGTTTCTGCCTTGCTTGAAAAGCGTATTTCTCTAAACAAAATAGTTTTTCCGTTATGATTATTAACGGATATTTTATTGACTAAGCACTTTCAAGAATATTATCAGCTATGATTATTATTTAAATGTGTATTGTAGAGTGGGAATGGCCTCCTTCAATCGAGACTTGATACAGATCTCGTCGACAAGACATTCAACTTTGGAAGAGGAGTCGGGTGTGACTTCAACAACAGCAAGGATCTTGTGGACTGTTTGAGAGGAAGATCATGGGAAGAATTGAAAGATGGATATATGAACTTGGTATGTACATGTATCTATCTAAGCTTGTGAGTCGACGATGCAACAGTTTGAATAAAGGAGGTGTTGATAAAACTTCTGATCAAGAGCCAAAAATGTCTAAGGGGATTATCATAATCGGTGCTGACAAGTTATTTGCAGTAAAAGGGGAAGGTACTATCAATTCCCGATTGGCTATATAGAGATTCCAAGCGTTTACTAGTTTCCAAGGATACACAAATAAAAACTGTCATGTCAACATTTCATAAAACATAGTCTCGTGATTTACATAATAATGAACAGAGATATATTGGTTCACTTGAGTAAAGTGAAGTGTCACGAATTTTCAAAGAATGATGTCTGGGTGAGGGTTTGTTTTGGGACAGGGGTCTGTGGTTTAGGACGAGAAGAGAAGTGGAAGAAAGAGATTGAGAGAGAGAGAGAGAGAGAGACAGACAGGGAGACAGAGAGAGAGAGAGAGAGACAGACAGAGACATATACAGAGACAGAGAGGAGGATGGTAATATGCTCAGTCAAAGCCAAGTACAGTTTTAATGGGCTTAATGAAGTTTTTGTGCTTCACTCTTTTTTTTTTTTGGGGGGGGGGGGGGGGTGTATTTTTAAAGTGCACTCGATACCGATAACTTATTTTGACTTAATTTTCCTTATTATTTCAACCTTTCATTTTGAAAAGTCTCCAGATACAGTTGATCGAGCAGTCGGCTGCATTGTAGATGGACACTTCTTACCTGATAAACATATCAACCTCATGCTCAAAGGACATCTTAACGTTGACAACGTCCTCCGTGGTTCTTTACCCAACGAAGGGGCTTGTTTCTTGGTCTTTGGTCGCCTTGCTTCCACTGAAGACATCCCACCTCCTGTTTTAACTGTCGAGGAATTCAAGGCTCAGCTTGTAAGGTTTTTCAAAGTTGAGGACCCACGTCTTCTGGATACGCTCACCTTCATGTACTCTGATTCTGCACATGTACGTACGTATACACTCTATGGTTAATCTTCGACTATACATATTTCTGTATCGAATGTTTAGTTTTGTATCACCACAGCTTAGGCGCGTACGCAAGGGGTGGGGGTTTTGGGTTTTACCCCGCCCCTTAATTTTGGTATGGGTGTGTTTCGAAGGAACCCCCCCCCCTCAATTTTTTTTAAGAAAAATAAAAATAAAAATAAATAATGTGCTAAAGGGTGACAACAAAAAGTGACCCTACCCCCCCCCCCCCCCCCCCTCCCCTACTAAACGAAATATCGGTGGGCATAATTTTCAAATTTCCGGGACAAAAAAATATGTGCTCTTACCCCCCCCCCCCCCCCCCCCCGCGAAATTTTCGGCGCGATTTTTAAATTTTAACCCTCCAGATTAGAAGCAGAAGGAAACTCATGTTGGCTAAGAATAATCCGTTGACATTTTTTTATTAAAAAGATTACAGGGCAAACGGGCGACTACTTCCAGAAGTTGGCAGACATTTTCACAGATTTCTTCACTTGCTCCGTCAATTCATTCTCCAATCTGATGTCAATCATGGCAGGAAAGACGGTCTACCTCTTTTCCATGACACATATACCCTCTCACTCGGCCCTGGGTCCTCTGAAATGGGCAGGAGCAACTCATGTAGAGGATATCCCGTATGTCTTTGGCAGTCCTCTACTGCGTGAGAGGGAAGATGGTCCTAAGGGCATGTCTGGATTCTTCGATGGGGCTGAGGAGGCGGCCTTGTCCAGACAGATTATGCGATACTGGTCTAACTTCGCAAAAACAGGGTAAAATAAGATAAAAACAAGATGCATTTATAGTCAAAAACAAAATATCCATGAAATCAAGTACACGATCTTTTTTTCTTCCTTTCTACTTCTCATAACTTTATATGAATCGAACTTATTTCGTCAGTCGGGTTCTACAGCCCATAAGATCAACGGCCCATGTCGGACTGCGAGACTGACAAGACCGGTTCCCTTATACAAAGTTTCTTGGAGCTCACTAGACGGAAGGCTAACGACATTGATTTACGGGCCATTACTTTTTTTTTTACTCCATTTTATATGGATTTTTTGCCAATTATTATTATTATTATTACTTATATCGCGCTTTTCCCATAAGGCCCAAAGTGCTTACAATGAATCAGAATTCAAATTTAATATGTAAATACATATAATAAGAAAAACAGTCTTACAACTACAAACTGCACCAAAACATGTGTTTTTAAGGCCTTTCTGAAGGGAATAACTGATTGAGACTGCCTGATTCTAACTGTAGATCATTCCAGTATTTTGAAGCAGATACAGTAAATGTCCTATCACCGGCTAATGTGCGGTAACTGAATATGTGAGACGGAGAGGATCACTGGCTGACCTCAATGCACGGCAGGTGTATATAAATTCAAACAGGTATCTAAATACCAATAGCTGGGGCTACGCGGCCAATGCGGCGTCCCATAGCATTTCTTATTTAGTTTGTGGATCTCATGGGCCATGGTCTCATGGGCCTTTTGAATTCCTAGTGGACTGTCAATCTCGATGGCCGTTGGTCTACTATTAGGATTGTCTTTGACGGTTGGAAAGGCCCATCTCTATTGTATACAGGGTTTCAGGTAAATTATGCTTTAATCGTTGTCTGACCAAATTAAAAAGTACCTCTCCAAAATTTTTGATGTCAAACAAACTAACTTCAGATTCAGAACATTATGAAACAGGGGGGATAAGATGCTTCTCCCGACAAACCCCTTGATTAGCGGTAGTAATTGCAAATTAATATTTCAATCAAATTTGTCCCTCTTTTTTTTACCAGGAATCCCAATTTATCATCTCAAGATCCAAAGGTAGTCAATAACCCGCTCGATCTTGAGGAATGGCAACCGTTTACAAATGAACAACCCTACTACAAAGAATTGGATTATGGATTCCTTACGAGGGAAGGTGTGGTGAAAGCCAAGGAGTGTCACTTCTGGACCTCAGTCTTCCCCAAGATGGTAGCCCAATCATGTGAGTGTTTTCCACAGCCACTATTCCGAGTTTTCAGTCTTCTTCGTACATCATTAAATGTTTACACAGGGATCTTTACAGAGTTGTAGTCTTTCAGTTTTTGTCTAGTTTATCTTGTAGTTACTTAATAACTTCACCTTGACAATTCCAGATTATCTTCTCTATCGCTAAAAGCTCCCGTTCCCCTGGTTATCTTCTGCCTTTTTTTTATTTTGAGGTGATAATTTTTAACTCCTTATTTTTATTTCTAGTTGAGCTGTTGAAGCTGAGGGCGATGTTAGCCGACCAAGTAGCTGCTCATAGCACTGGAACATGCGATGGTGATTCTTGTACAGAACCCTGAGAGTGAAGCACACTCTTTTGAGAACTAAATTTGAAAAAGTATGGATAAATGAAGTGCTTTTGGGGGGTTAATTCTCATTCTCTTCACATTACATTACATGAATTTACGAGTTGACAGTGTTGCTCCTTCGACTTCGAGCACCAGGGGAGGGGAACCGTCTCCACATAAAGGTAAAATCAACGTGTTTTTACCTGTTTTTTTCAGGGGAGGGGGTTGGAAATTGGTCTCGAAATTTGAAAAATTGACATTTCGCTCCACTGGGGGGTAAGGTCACCTTTTTAGGACAGCCAGGGGAATAAGTTTTATTTATTTTTTATTTTTTTAATAATAATAAAAATTTTAAAAAAATCCAAGGGAGGGGGGGGGGTGTTTAAGGGGGTGATGGGGGGGGGTTTGCACACATAAAAAAACCAAAGGGGGGGGTTAACCCCCCAAACCCCCCCCCCCCCCCCCCCTGTGTACGCGCCTGATGGGGAGACAAAAGAGGGGTGGCAGAAACCTAATAGAAATATTGAGATGAAAGGAATATTATGAAATGGAGAGATGGGATACAGAGTGGAGGAAATAAAGAGACATCATTTTGATCGGAAGCATTTGTTTTCTTTTCTAAATTAAATGTGTCACACAACGGTCCCATTAGCCCAGTATAACGACGAGACAAAAAGTTCACCAGACAGTCAGTCCAGGATACCGACAAAAAATATCATACATAAGCCTACATAAAAGAAGAAAGTTTCAATTAAGAGGTTTAAAAAACCGACGGCCGACAAGATCGAAAGTCCATGACACTGACAAAACAAAATAGTCCATGAAACCGACAATAAAGCGTTCTCGTGCATGGCCGCCCCCTCATTTATACAAGACGCAATGTTTTAAACGGCTTACAATCACCATATTCGGGGAATCCTTGATTGATTTATTCGACAAGCTTCAATAACAGATCAAAAATAAGTCAGCTTGAACAGGATAACCCCCTTGGGCATCCCCTGCTGAGCTTTTCACCTGAAGGATTTTACTTCCCTGAGATTGGTATCACCCCCCCCCCTTCCTCCCCCAAGCCAAGTGCATGGAGAAGGCCACTGGAATCGGGATCCACGGGGAAAATAATTGTGGGAATATTTGGCACATAACCCCGCATACCCCGGGAAGCGTTATTTTTTTCTGCGGCACAGATTGGGGCTTTTTTTTAAAAGGGGTCTTGATTTACAGACTAATAGTGGTCGTGCGTGTACTACTAGAGGTCTGTTTTTAATATTGTTACATGTAGAAAATCAATACATCAACAATTAAAAGGGAAATTGGAAATCTGAAGAGGAGGCAGCACGTCAATAAGGAGAACATCACAATAATTAGTCAATAAAACTTGACTAACTTGAACGAAGAGGAATGTTATCTAAACACATAGTTCGCGATGGATATTCAAACTTCTTCGTAGCTCTATGCGCTAGCGAACATGACTAGTCTCACGTACGTGCAGACACTATTCAGAAGGAAAGAACGTACTTCTCATAGGCTCAACACGCACCATGCCCCAATCTGTGCCGCAGAAAAAAATAACGCCCCCGGGAAGAGAGAGAGAGAGAGAGAGAGAGAGAGAGAGAGAGAGAGAGAGAAAGCCCAAGCGATTCCCTAAATCATATTTCCATAATATAATTATGCACTATGTACACACCTAACTGAAATGAAGTTATTCGAAGTGTGCTGCATTCTGATCAGGTTTTGCAACGGTAACCGTTGTAAAACATCTCTGGCAGGGGCGGATCTACGGGGGGGGGGGGAATTATGGGGTTTAACCCCCCCCCCCCCCCCCCCCCCCCCCCTTGGGCTGCCAAGTGAAAAACGCCATCATGTGTCCAGACCCACACAGTATTAGCTGATGTTAGTATAGATGCCAGGAAAACATCACTTACAGGGGGTTCAAAAAAGCAACAAAACAAATTGGGTCAATTAACCCCCCCCCCCCCCCTGGCCCAAAGCTAGATCCACCCTTGTCTGGTATAAATCATACAATAAAGTTATAGCTCCTTTTTTTCCGCCAGAAGTATACCCAAACCATAATGTACACGATGCATGCCTTGCCTCATGATGAGGTTATAACAATGTTATAACCAGGATGATACACATCGCCTCACTTTATGAAATACATACAATTGGAAACCTTTAGCGTTTGGACGTATGCTCTTATCACTCACACGTTCAATGTAAAACTAATAACAAAATGTCCAAAGGTCGATTCGTACGCAAGACTTTGTCGACCGTGCCAAAAAATTTAGTCTCTATTATCAATATACAAAGTCATAGAAATATAAGCACTGTACACTGGAAACACACCAGGTAGAGGCTTACCCAGATATAATAGTAGCATGCAAAGAACTGTTTCATTCATCAATGCGTGTCTTTGCATATGAGACGGCCTGCTAAATAAACCATCTTGTGCGCAACTGATTAGAAAATATGGTCCGGAAAGTGGTATTTGCGTTCCCTCTCGTTTTAAGCATCCTGCTCTGTTCTGTTGAGAGTAGAGGAACACCCTTCGTGGACACCCAGAATGGTCGAATCTTGGGTAGGACCATCAAAGTCACACCTTGGCAGTTTCCAGATAGTGAGACCATTGTGGTGGAGGCATACACCAAGATCCCTTATGCTGAGTCTCCGGTTGGAGAGCTGAGGTACAAACATCCTGTCAAGAAAGTTTGGACGGGAGAGGTAGACGCCACCAAACCAAACGTTGCTTGCCCTCAAGTCCCTTTGATAGGATTCACTGTAGAAATGGAAGAGACAGAGGATTGTCTGTACTTGGATGTCTTTGTGCCGTCACCACGGGCAAGTCTTTTTCATTTTTATTTTTATTGTTGTATCTAAGTTGAGGGCTGCGGGCACGTCAAGCTACTTTGCTTATTTCTGTAGCCCTCCTGCATCTAATGTATGTTAATTATGCATGAAATATATTTGTTTAATTTCGTTTATTATCTGTATAAAATGATATACACTTAAAATATTGTATCTAACCATATTATGTCATGAAAATGTATGACGAAAAAAAGAAAAAAGATGCCGAAACCAATAAATCGAATCAAATCAAATAATTATATAAGCGTGAGAACCATCCTTCCCTCCCCTTCCCTACTATACATTCTCCATGATTAAAAAGGTAGTACATACGTACGCAGACTCGTATATTATGGCATAAGTAACTCATGAAAATACATGTATGACCAACCAGTAGTACCAGTGTTACGTGAACCAGTTAATAATGTATAAAATGAGAAAAGGGAAAAAGTTTTCAGTATTTTAATCAGTTACCAAAACCCCGTAATTCGACAGCTCTTGGTAACTAGTACTCTGAGCCTCTCGTTACAAATGTCATAGCATGTAGATGTATATTATACAACAATGTGCTCTCCTGAACCTGGTCGGCATATTACAGCACTATGACAATCATTACAATTCACATTAATATTACCTTACTCCAACTTACTAGTAGTTCAATGTACATACCACACATTAAATACCAGATACTAGGTATGGTACTATTGACTGATATGAATATGACGATAATCAAACATTAAAATTTAATGGGACATAATTCTCCTTGAGGGTTATAGGCCTAGAGGTTTATTCGTCATAAGTCTATGGTGCCTCCATCTTTTCGATAAACATTAATGTATCCTAGCAGCATCAGCCACGGTTTTATAGCCAGAGTCAGTAGCTGTAATGGTGTGGATGTCTTTGTGCCGTCACCTCAGGCATGGAAAGAAACAAAAATGGCTAGTATAAGACTCGAGTAACATTTTTTTCTTTCGTAACATTACAGCCCAATCCAGCGCCAGTGATGGTGTGGATTCATGGAGGAGGGTTTTTCGCAGGTGCAGGATCAGTACCTGAACAACTTCCTATACCATTATCATTTTATGGAGAAGTCATTGTCGTCACTTTCAATTATCGACTTGGAATGCTGGGATTCTTGAATACAGGTGAGATAAAGCCTAGATAGTGGAAAGGAAGTGGACGGGGGGAGGGAAGGGAGATAGAGAGAGCGAACGAGAGAGAGAGAGAGAGAGAGAGAGAGAGAAAGAGAGAGAGAGAGAGAGAGAGAGAGGGAGATACGGGGGAGGGGGGGGGGTAAAATAACGATACTATATACTACCACCACCGCCACTACTACAAGTACTAGGCCTACTATTACCACTGCTACTGCTGCTGCTGGTACTTCTATTGCTTTTTAACAACAAGGACAACAACAATATTATTATTATTATCAGTATCACTAGACCCTATTATAATTCTTGTCATTATCATTATTACTATTATTGGTGTTATTATTTTATTCAGTATGATTGTCATCATCATCATCGTCACCATTGACCATAATCAGTTTATAAATAAAAGACGGAGAAGAAGAACGAAGAGCGGGAGAAATAAGAGAAAGAGAAGGATTAAAAGAGAATGATGAAGAAGAGAAGATTAGGGATATCGATGCGTCGATTTGTATGTATTTACCTATAGACCAACATAGGGCTATAAAATATGAACATAAACAAATGATTATAATTCTCAATAATAAAAAAAAAAGGGGGATAACTCTATTCAGAGCCATAAGTATGATGGATCCGTTCTTTCTATAGAGGTCCAGAAAAAAATGTGATCCGACACCCTTGCTTAGGAGGAGGAGGAAATGGAAACTAGCCTGTGTCTGTCGTCCAGTCACAGCTCCAGGATTTGAGAAAAAGATTAATAAATAAATACATACACAATAACGTGGTGATGTCCCTCCTCCATCCCCTTTGACTCAAGTCTTGAACATCGTATTATCATTTCCTTTCACGACCGTCATTTAAATGAAATAAAATTGACATTTATATCTTCATTTTCAGAAAAAAGTTGCCTTACTTCTAAATCATTCTGACTTTAACAGGTGACGGAGAAATTCCAGCCAATCTTGGTATGTTTGATCAACGAGAAGCACTGATATGGGTTCAAGAAAACATAGCAGGTAAACATCGAATGTTTCTATAACTATCAAAAGTGATAATATTTAAAAACTGGAAGTATAATACTGGCTTTTCGGAATTTCAGATTTTCGAGCCCATAGCGTTATACAGGAATCTGGCGAACAATCAAATTCCATATCCGGCCCTTGGGCTCCCGTGATCATTATATTCTCGGGAGGAAAATTCACCCCTGCCTAGGAGTGTATTTTTGCTTTTATCACTCCTCCCTCCCCTCCCCAATCCGAGGAAGTAAATTCGAAGAAGAATGTTAGTGATCTCCGACGATCTTGCATGGATCCGACCATTCAGCCCCAGTACTGAGTTTGTCAAAGAACTTCATTTTCTTCTACTTTTATCAAACGTTTAATATTTTCAGCTTTTGGAGGTGATCCAGGGCGTGTAACTATATTTGGTGAGAGCGCTGGAGGTGCGAGTGTTAATTTTCATCTTCTATCACCGCTTAGTGCTGGACTGTTCAGAGGTGCTATACTGCAGGTGTGTCCCTTGCTCTTGGTTGCTAAAAAAGTTTATACTCCAGTCATACCAACAAGACCAACACCAAACCCCCAAAAGACTGAACTAAACATTCTTAGTCATCAGTTGGTCGGTTTGACGTCGGTTTTGTGATGTGACTGTGGTATTGATATTAATATTATTATTATTTTTTTAGATATTTTCTAAGGCAGATTTATTTCTGCGTTTATTAACAAAATCAAAATGAAATATACACAGAGCATTTCTTTCAATAAAATTAAAAGAAGAAAACAATGAAATTAGAACAGTTATACAATAATAATATATAAATGTGACAATAATTCAACTTAAATATTCTAAAAATAAATAGATGCAGTAGACCAACCATCATAAGCAGTGAGTTTAAATTAAAGTAATAAGAATGTTAAACGTATATGTTAATCATATACAGAAACGTTCTTATGCCAACTTTTGATGTCTTATTACTTAGACGATCCCTTTATTCTTCTTCTGTTTCTTCATCTCCTTCTGCTTCTTCTCCTCCTGCTCTTCCTCTTGTTCCTTTTATCTTTCTCATTCTCTCTCGCACATTAAGTGATAAGCACTTCATAAAATTCGTTATTAACATCATTATAGACAATAAAAACCAAAATACGATATAGGCCTATATCAAACATCAAGAAAGAAAGTTCTTACTCTATTCAAGGAAGGGAATTTACAATGGCTTTTTGAGTTCATTATGGGGGCGATTCCATACGACAAATGACATTAATCCATAAAATCCATTAAAAATCGCTAAATATGACTATAATGGCTAATGGTATATTGATACCAGAAAGCACCATTCAATTCACCGGCATATCAAGAGATTCTTCATTTTTAGATGAAATACGTTGAAAGATGAGATAAGATGAGACGGGACGGAATCGGCCTTTAGTGATCCCTCGGTAACAACGGACAGTACGAAATGTTGTCGTGGTAGACCTTTAAAGTATGTGTCGTGGCCAGACCTTGCGACATGCGCGAAATCTATTTCGAGTGGTCATAAGGGCTACGACACATTAACGATCGTTTGGCGATGGGGACGCGTCAAAAAAAAGACATGTCGTGTGTGTGCATGTCGCAAGAAATTTCCGTCGTTCGACAGTCGTGGGACCATCTCGAGTCGCGGGTATTGTCTGCCGGGCTGTTTTCACGTGATCAGGTCGTGGTTCACTCTCCCGACTAAATAATGAGGCCTGGTCTGCTACCTGCCAAGTTGCTCTCGATATTTTGTCAGTGGAAAAGAACTCTACCGAATTTGTATCCAGAATGCATCCCAAGAAGAGATATGTTGCAAGACTAACGAAATATCTAACGCACGACATAATTGCAATGTCGTGTGGGCCTCTTACGAAATATAATATTTGTGAGATAATCTTGCAACACTGTCAGTGAGACAGTCGTAGGATAACCTTGCGACAGTCGTAAGATTGTTTCACTAAACAAATTGTTCTGGTATCCACGACTAGATAATGTATCGCACGGCAGTCGTAAGACAGACTCACGACACCCACAAGACATAGATACCACCAAAAAAGAAAATCGTCGAAAACAAAAGGCGCATGTCTAATTTTGCCTCACGATGGCAAGTCGATGCCACGGTTCTCCCGATGATCCATGATTTGCCCAAATTGTCTGTAGTGTCGTGGCACAAATGCGTCATTTTTAGGTGTGACCACGCCTTTAAATGGGAGGAAATGTGAATAAGAAACTGCACGATGTTTAACTTTATTCTAGAGTGGGAACGCCCTTTTGAATATGGGTAATACCGACCTCGTCGAGAAGACATTCGAGTTTGGAAAAGGAGCCGGATGTGACTTCAACAACAGCAAGGATCTTGCGGAATGTTTGAGAGGAAGATCATTGGAAGACTTGAAGGATGGATATATTATTATAAACGTGGTATGTACATGTATATGAATACCCTTGATGTTTCTAGGAAATAATATATATCGTTTTCTATTCAATTTGTTAAAAACATTTTTTTACCAAATTTGTGAAGATATTTCTGACAGCTACACTCTATTGAGAATTAAATAAGATATACCCAATATTAGGCGAAAAAGGCACATGCATATTTGTTCGGTAAAACATTGCCCAATATTGGGTTCAAAAAATTTACTTATTTTAGTACAAATATTGGGTAAATTCAGTTTCTTGGGCCATATTCTATAGTGTACAGATGCGAAATTTTTATGAGCATTCCACAACGTTGCATTTCAATGTTGATTAGCTAAAATTATATTAATGACGATAATCATCTTTGAATGGAATGTGGCATCAGACTTGGATAGAGCTGGGAGGAGGTCCCACAATGCACCTGCATCCCTACCCCCTTTTTTTTCAAGTTAAGAGGGGACACCTTTTGTGATCTATTTAACGATCTTTGTTGGTTTTGCCTTTAAAAAATTGCGATAATTCGAGGAAATAATCACTTTTTTATAATTTCATCTGATAGCATCCAGGTCATATAGAACTCGCCCCCGTTGTGGATGGGCACTTTTTAAATGATACACCACTCAAGCTGATGCAGCAAGGACATGTGAACGTTGATAACGTCCTCCATGGGGACTTACTCAACGAAGGGTCCTGTTTCACCATCTTTACCGGTTTCGCTTCCACTGAAGACATCCCTCCTCCTGTTTTAACTCTCGACGACTTCAAGAATCATCTTGCGAACTTCTTCAAGATTGATGATCCGCTTATTCTAGATACGATTGTCTTTGTGCTCTCTGACTCGGCACATGTATGTATACATCACTAATTATGATCTCTCAAAGCTGAAGCATAATATATCTATTTCCAATCCCCTTAATCCACTGTCGATGTAAAATTTGTTTATCGGAGAAGTCTGCCACCAGTGGAAGATTTCAATTAAGCTGATAATAAAATTGTTATTCGCACATGTATGGGATGATAGTTTCTTCTTTGGTCACTAGTGGTTTTGTTCGAACGCATGCGTAATAAGAAAGTAATTTCTCGTAATAACATAGATAAATTTCATAATGATTACCGATAAATCCGGAATCTACGTACATGACATGACAAACTTGTTATTGTTCCTCATATCAATCCCTATGTAGATTATAAATATTAAACTTAACAATGATGCAATGTCTGTAACTGAGGCTTATCTTTTTATAATTAAAGATTACAGGAAATAAAACTGACTATTTTAAGGAGTTGGCAGACGCTTTCGATTCTATAATCTCTTGCCCGATCAATCCGTTTTCCAATCTGCTGTCAACGGCGGGTAAAACGGCCTACCGCTACACTATGACACACGCCCCTTCTCACTCGGCCCTGGGTCCTCTGAAATGGGCAGGAGCAACACATGTAGAGGATATCCCGTACGTCTTTGGCAGTCCTCTACTGCGTGAGAGGGAAGATGGTCCTAAAGGCATGTCTGGGTTCTTCGATGGGGCTGAGGAGGCGGCTTTGTCCAGACAGATCATGCGATACTGGTCTAACTTCGCAAAAACAGGGTAAAACTTTATGCTTCTTCAGTTCAAAAAAGTTTTAATTACTTTAATTGGGCTAATTATCTTGATGTAGGTATCGGAATTCAGCTTATATAGACACAGTTCTTTCGCAACTTCATATGTCTATGAATATAATTTAAAGACCTAGATCTCACAAAATCGTAAGTTGTTGGTGTCCTACTATAAGTTGCAGGGTTTCTGGGGCCGGTGCCAGGGTGCTGGAGTACTTGGATGCAATGAACGTGCTGGGTTGTGCTCGGCGAATGCTGAGGGTACAGTAAAAAGTTATGTAAAAGATTTATTTTTTAATCGAAAAGACACCATTAGTAGAATATCCCTCTTTTCCACCCTGAAGCAGCTCCAGTGAAAAAAAAAATCGTTCCTTGGTGCCTGTGGAATAGTTTGGCGACTGTCTCCCATTTTTCGAGCTGTGTGAGGCTTTTCTTGAAGCCCCCTCTAAAACACGGTTTTCCCCGATTCTCTCAATGATCTCTTTACAGGAATCCCAATTTGTCATCTCAAGATCCAAAGGAAGTCAATAACCCGCTCGATCTTGAGGAATGGCAACCGTTTACAAATGAACAACCCTACTACAAAGAATTGGATTATGGATTCCCTACGAGGGAAGGTGTGATGAAAGCCAAGGAGTGTCACTTCTGGACCACTATCTTTCCAAAGATGATGGCCCAATCATGTGGGTGTACATAACTTACAGTGATTTTCGTGATTTCTGATTTGCTTTATTTTCTTTCTTAATAGATATGCTTGAATATAGTCATGGACTCATGGTAGTTTCTTCATCTCATGTGTATGCATAATTTAAGAACATAAATGACATGGTACTTTCCATGATGTTTTATAATCTATACTTTAAGACGTGATTATCTTTTTATGATTGCGACCTTTATTATGATTGATGAAAAACTTCCGCATTTCAATAACAATTATTTTCTTCTGTTCGACATCTTTATATGACAACGAATAAAACTATAATCTTATTTAGTAAAGTACAAGAACAAATTCAAGAGCTTCTTCCCCCCCCCCCTCTCTCTCTCTCTCTCTCTCTCTCTCTCTGTCTCTCTCTGTCTATCTCTTCCCCCCTCTCTCTCTCTCTCTCTCTCTCTCTCCCTCTCATATCTTCTGTGTGTTTGTCTCCTATTATACACGGCTTAATTTTAATGACGATATCATCACACCTGTTCTTTATTTCTAGTTGAGCTGTCGATGCTGAAGACGATGTTAGCCGACCAAGTAGCTGCTCATAGCACTGGAACATGCAATGGTGATTCTTGTCCGGAGGAGTGATGTCCGAAAAGCTCTGTGGCGGGGCGGGGGCTGGGTGGGGACGGGGCAGGTGTGCATGGAAGAGGAGGGGTGGTGAGTGGTGCCAGGTAAAGCTTTAATTAGGAGGTAACACATAATTTAAAAACTCACACCCGCAATGTACCAGCAGTTTACATAAATATTTTTTTGCTCGCTCACAAAACTTTAGGAATCCTGTCAAAAAAACGTCAGCCACACCCCCTACCCCCCCCCCCCCCCCCCGTGATTGCCCGTACGCCTATTTTCTAACCAGGGTCCCGTTTTTAAAGAATCTCGATTGATCAAAATCAATCTCATGTCTTCAAAACAATCACAAGTTTGCAGTCTCATATCTTGTATGTACATATTTTTTATTAATATCAACTCTTTATAAAAACGGGGCCCAGGGATCGTTACCCGACCACACTGCCTATGCTTTCCATATTCGAATATAGTAATAATTGCTTCATTATCTAATTCTGGTGAGTTCTGGGAGTTATATATTCATCATTAATTCTACGTTATGATTTTACGTATAGGATAGACCGTTACAGACCAACGATTTGTAAGTGTGATTTAGAAAATTGCCAGGTGCCTTTGCTAGATTACAACTTCTTGGTTCATGTACCATTAATGTCAAATGAACAGGGATTTTGGTGGGGTCATTTTGTTTGCATTTCGTTGCTTTCGTGTAAATATTGAACAAAACACCTGAACTCATGTATCATTTTGTTTTCATTATATTGAACAAATATTAAGTCTATTTGAAGCAAACCATGTTTTTGAGTGTTTCGTAACTCACTCAAGAATGAAAGGTGAAGTGGTTGAATTAGGGTCTTCGTTAAATACTTTTAGATGTAAATTGTACTATGTCACATTCTCAAGAAAACAAACTTAAACAAATTATAAAACTTGGTAAGGATATGAATAATTTAGTTGCTAACTGTATATATACACTGTAGTAGCATTGCCGTCCCTAAGGAAGGGAGAGGCCCCCGGTAAATTTGGAATAAAACTACAAAGTTGGTTAAAAATGCATTTCTTCAAAGTGTTATAATTATGCATGTATTTCTTTATCAAGGGAAATAATAATAAAAACAAACAAACATGTCAGCCATACATATAAGAACGTTGCAGGCTGAATTATTATGTAGACTTATTCAGCGTGATTCAACCGGGGTCCCGAGAGTGAAATTTAAGTAATTTGAAAACTACATTTTTGGAATAGATAGATAAATGGTTTATTGATTAAAAAAGAAAATAACACATTGCGGTAAAGCCAACTTGCGATGACTTTACGATATAGATCATACAAAAAACTCATCCGCATTGGCAAATATAACACAAGGTTATCAACAAATATCATTTCGTATTATATTTTCTTGATTTGTTTTGTATAAACTAACATGACATTATTGATTCGATATTCTACATGACAATGTTATAATATATATAAAATTCTACAAGCAATAGTTGATAAATATATTTGTTAAAGATTTCATGAAAACGAAGTATTAGTGACCGCATTCATATCTTGTATTCAGACACTCCTGTGTATATACTCTGATTGGTTGTATATGCATGCATAGGGCTATAAGGCGGGGGCTTGGGCCGGGGGGGGGGGGTGAGGTTGAACTGCTTCCCGATATTCCAGTAACAATAATCTTATTTTCAGGCAGCGAGGTGCTTGAATATCGTCTTGATTTTGGGCGGCAAGGTGCCCGGATGTTATCTTTTGTATTTTGATGGGGAAAGGACATTTTAAAGATAAAATAGAATCTGTCCTTTTCCTTGCTCGCTCTTCTCACTCTCAAAATTTAGAAACTTGATGGTTTCAAGCAGCAACATACCTGAATATCTTTACCTACAAGCAGCGAGGTGCCCAAATATCCTTGTATTCCGAAGCGAGGTGTTCATATCTACAATGACGTATTTCGATAACAAAATAGCATTTTTTTCATAAACAAAGTGTCATTTGCTCGTTCGCTTCATTCCCTCGCAAAATCTAGAAACGGGATGGTTAATATTTGGGCAAGATGCGTCAGCTACTCCCCCTCCCCCCTTTTCCCAACTTTTGGAAAGTGTACCCGTCTACATCTTGTGTATATGCACAGACATGTTATAGACAGGATCCCTATCACATGTAAATTGACGAGTACCCCCGCGAGTACTAGAGCGATGATCTGAATTTAGAATTAAGACCCGAAAACTTTATACATGCATTTCTAAAAAGGATGCAGTGAATTCAAAAGGTTGAAACGCTGGTATAAAATATATGAATTTCAGCAGCAGTATAACGTACTTTGATATAAAGGATCATGTAAGTCGAACAAGATTGGCAAGACGTGTCCTTGTATCGTTCTTTAGAATAATAATATTCAAAACGACATATTGGATCATTCCTGTTTTACCTTAGGGGTGATGCCTATTTGCGGAGACATGGACAAATCCCTATTTTGGGGCTATTTTTTAGGTAATATATCTCAAATGGCACAACTTTTTAAAAGCTGACTTTACTGTGGGATGTGTACCAACCCAAAGTTAATTGACTCCAGGTTTCAGATCCCTGGAGTGTCCTACTTGTTTGTCATCACCTGCTTAAAATCGGTCACTTTCACGAAAAGCAGAAAAATAGTGGTTTTCGATCAAGCTGTAAATCTTGTGTAAATTCATTATTATTTCAATTATCATACCTTCAATCAAGGTCCATCCTTTTGATTTTTGTCATTTTGCTTTAAAATATATTTAGGGGACTTCAGTCAAACAGACATATAAGAGACTCCTCACTTTTTAAATCATGAATCGAAATTGAAATTGAAAATTAAATGGTTTATTAGTAAAAATTTCATAGCCGAATTGCGCAATCTTTTACATATGAAAAATACAAAATATAGACATTCCTGACATATAGCTTAACAAACAATAACAGAAGAACATGATAATGAAATCATATTTATTTAATCCCTACACATAAGATATTTAAATGAATCCAGTATGTCGGAATGCAAATTTAAATAGCATCGGTTAACACAGGATGTCTAATCAAGTCATTATTACAAGCAAGAGATTTATTTAGATGCAAGATAAAAGATATCACTTACGAAATCGAAATCGAAATCGAAAATGGACATATGAGGACTTGTTCTGACCAAAAATTTCCTCCTAAAAAATTGGGCCATTTATTTTATACTCAGTTGAATAACCTTTTTTCTTCAAATTTCTCTAATATTGAAAAAACAGAAACTTTCCAAGCAAGGTAAAGATATTTTATTAGTTAAATTAAAAAAAGGAATGGGTAATCTCATAAATGCAGATATTTGCTTAACGTTGGGCATTTTTCATAACTTAAAAGTTTTAAAAAAGGCGACAAGGGGCGTATTTTCAGAAGGGTTGGCAAAATTGCAAATAGAAATGGTCCAGTAGTTTCATGGATATTTGCTGTAAATACTTCATAGGACTTGATCATATTTGAAAATCTGGCACCATTTGCAATATTCTCTCAGTAGCTCTTAAAATATACTGTGCACAAATGCACAAAACTAATTTTCATTTATTATACACAAAAGCTCTGAAAACCGAGTATAATAACACTGAGCAATATACACAAATTATGTTATCTAGATCATCTATGTCATTAAAAGAAGAAAGTGAAGATTTTTGTAAAAAAGAGTAATGCATGTAGTAACCAGGCTTGAATTATTACTGTGTGAAATGACATAATCATAAGGACCCAGTTTCATACGACTTTTTGTCAATACTAACTGCTATAGATCGATGACATATTTGCTCATAGCAAATCTTATGTAAGGATTTCAGTAGTTTTTCAGTAGCTTTTAACAATTACAGTATCTTGTTATTGATTACAAGTTTTATGAAACAGGGCCCATAATAGCTTTGATATGCCAAAATCAACACTACATACCGGTAAGTTCCATTAACCTGTGTTCCATTACAGCTTCATAACATTGCATAATTATCAACAACATGAAATATATCAGTCATCTCTAAGTATTATAAAAATCCAAAACCATCTTGTACTATCATGATATCTACACCTTCGTAATATGAAAATAAAATCTATTATTATTATTTATAGTATATCTGTAAAGCGTTTAGAGACATCATAGACGTATTAAGCGCTATATAAAGGCTGAATATTATTATTATTACACTAATTCACACAACAAACATGATGGTAAAATCCATCCACAAGGGCATACTGCCTATGGTTATAACCACACAGCACAATGTAACCCTGAGGTCTTTCACATGATACCAGTTTTCATTATAATATAAAATAGAACTTTGGTAAATATCACAGAATAGGAGATCTTACAATGAACATAATGTAGACGACATATGCTGTTAAAGGCTTAAATATTACTCGGCATGAAATACACCTATTTCTAAATATAATTCCCTTGTTTTGTCAGCTAAAGCAAGCTACATGTATACAAAATATTTACATATTATATTATATTAAGTGCATTTTTTATGATGCTATTATAAGAAAAGTAGTAATATTTTCTGTTGCAATAAGTGGGAAGTTGTTTCTATAAAATGTCTGTACAATGGGGAACTTTTAGATAATAGATACTATTAGGTCATTATTATTGTTTGGCATACTAATCCAAATGCAGTTCCCTCTCCACTATGCCACAAGTTAGAATAATATTTCATTTTCTTCTTGATATGGGCAATTCAATGAAAAATGTTCACTACCAAAATCAGAAAATCAGCAATAACGAAGGAAACATGTGTGCTACTGTGACATATTCAGTATCAAACAAGTATCACAACATAATCACTTCAGATTTTATTCTTTGGTAGGAAATTGTGATGAAGGGATCACTGATTACTGATGAGAGCTTTTCATGATGGAAGCTATGTTTAATCCAATTGTTTTACAACATGTATCTATATTCAGATTATGATTAGAAATCTTCTGTTGATCATAGCAAAACTAGAATTGTTAAACACCCCAAATGACAGACTTTTCAAACAATTAACAGTGAGTAAAAATCCTTGTTCTTTTTGTGTCATGTCCTTAACCATGGTTACGGTTACAAAGAATTCATTTTTCTTCAACTATTTAGTGAGATTTGCTATGTGCGTGTATGTGACAGATAGTCAAACGTGTCTGAGTAACTGACTGAAATATATTTTAGGACACTTAGTTTTATTTCAAATTGTCTTAAGTAACCAAAGCTGGAATGTTCCATATTGATGTAGAATCCCGTGTTGTTCTAGTCCACAATGCAAGAGGTATTATCCAGATTCAGACCATACTGTAGAATCCAGTGTTGTTCTATTCCACAACACAAGAGGTATTATCCAGATTCAGACCACACGTTCCGTCCCCACGGTAAACAAGATAATATCCCTGAAACAAGGACAATTCAAGAGTAAAATCAGTCCACAAATACCACATCAAATTTTAAGTAACTTCAATTTCTTTTTAACTATTATTCGACACGTAAAGACATGATAACCTTGCATAGAATTTTAAAGCCCCTCTGCACTAGTTTGGCCATGAGGGATTAGACCTCCCTGCATGGTCACTGACAGGTGGTTATCTCATCAAATCAGCTCTCAATTAACATATAAAAAGGGAATCATGGGGGATCAATAGTCACCGATTAGGCATTGTTTGCTATATAGAGGGCGCAAGTAGCTATAAGTAGTGCAGTGGGGCTTTAAAACAACATGCATTATGATGAAATACAACAAGAAGGGAAAATCCAAAATATTTGCACACAAAATATTGATTAATGTCTGTATAATGGGTGGAGAGGTTTAGAAAATAAAGCAAACAAAAGAAACTGGAATTTTATTCTTTAATAATGCTGTAAAGTTATTCAGAGGGGTAGAGATGGAGATGCAATATCTAGCATGGTGTTTGAAAATGGATAGCATGGGATTAAAGGGGGCACAGATTTGGGGGGAAGATGTTTGGAATAACCCTTTCATATTTTCTAAATTCCTTTTCGAATGTACCTAGTCTGTTTCTCAATTTGGGAAGGGGTACATGCCCCTAGGAGCAGTTCTCTGAAAATATTGGTGAGAGGGGGGGGGGGGGGGCTTGATCACTAGATCACAACAAGAATCTTAGATAATGTTATCATATTTATTGCAATTGTAAATGAGCTACTGATGGGGACATTGTAAGGTATATATGTTCTGGTAAGGGTGAGACATGTGTTGTTACCCATTCTTTCCATTTATGTTTTTATCTGCAAGATTTTTCCCTATAAAACATGACTTTTGTTCCTAGCATAAAAATGATCCTGTTTGTCCATGATTTGGTAAACACATCAATTTAATACCAGGAATTTGGTCTTAAGAAAACAATGATTGTTTTCTATATGTTTTTGTTTTGAGTGAGATTGCCTCATCTAAGTGGTGGGGAAATTAGTAAATAACAGCATCTTTTTTAGTAACAATACAAAATAGCCACATTGCTTCACTGGACATCAAATGCAAAATGGGGAATACCCACAGTAAATGACGGCAACATATCAAGTTTTATTCAGATTTCAATTTCATTACTAGAAATCACTTTACATACATTAAGAGAGACTAGAAGAATTCACTTATCTCTTCAAACTTTTCTCTTTTTTTCAATAGCTTACGAAATGAGGTTATTACATGGAATGACAAAGTAATGAAAACTCACCTCTTCACCCCAATCTTTCCCCCAACTGTTCTTTACAATCCAATATGGCTCTCCATCTAGAAACACAAGTAAATACATTTGTTTGCTGTTATGATGACGTATCACATGTTATTTGCTTTTCCCTTCATCCCCATCAACTTCCCCTATGTTTTCCTTTACTTCTCACTCTTTATACTTTATATTTCCCTTTTCTACTTCTTCTTCTCCTCCTTCATTTTCTTCATATTTTCTTCATCTTCTTCTTCTTCTTCTCCTCCTTCATTTCCTTCATCTTTTCTTCAGCTTCCTCTTCCGATTATCCACTGCTTCCTTCTTCCTCCTTCATCATTCTATCAACTTATTAAATTAATTCTCCTTCTTTGCAATAAAGCCTAAATCATTAAGGATTGCTTTCTAGTAAGAACAAGTTTCCCTCATCAGCTAACTCTTCCTTGCTTTCCAATTACATGTACCACATCCTTCAACCCTTGTCCCCTTTTAAATCCCCTCCAAACTCTTGCCTCTCCCGCTCCTCTCTCTTTCCCAACTCTTGCAACCATCCACTTCCCTCTCTTCATCTCCTCTCTCCTACCAATTTCCCTCCCTATCCCCTTGCCTCTTATCTATCGTCTCTCTACCAAATTCCAGTTCTCCCAACCCTTGTCTCCCCCTTCCCCACTCTCCCTACCAACAGTCCCTTTCCCCTTTTCCTCTTGCCAGCCCTCCAAGCCTTCCTCCCCTCCTCTTTCCTTCTAACCTCCTTTCTTAACTTCCCTCTCCCCTTTTCCTCTTGCCAGCCCTCCAAACCTCCCCTCCCCTTTCCTTCTAACCTCCTCTCTAGACATAACCTGATGAAATCAAATCCAACCTTTGACACTGTAGCCAACAATGAGGACACCATGATCCAAGGAATCAGGACTGCAGAAGATCTTCCATGGATGAGCAATTCCTCCGAAGTAGAACTGCATCATTAAGGCATTAATACCAATGGAGATAGGTCCATGTGCTGCAAGCCATCCAGCCATCTCTGCAGTTGCAAATTAAAAATGATATTAGTACCATATCCGTTTTCCTGGTTACTGTAGTTAACCTCAACTATCTGAATTTGCAAGGGCTGTCAGCAGAATTTGGTCAGTAATTCAGCATTCAAATTAGCCAGTACAACGCCATCAGACATGACTCGCAACTAAATTTGTTAAATAACTTCCAAAGATGGTTATTTTATGTTTTCATTGTTTTGATACAAACATTGTTCAATAGTATTAAACTTCACCATTCATTAACTCATTTAAAATTTCACCATGAAAGCCAAACTTTTCAAAGTAAAACAATCAAATATATCAGATATCATATTATAGCTTGGGCAGATCAAACTGCCTACAGCAATTCAAGAGTAAACCTACATTCAGATATTTTTAAACAATGAACCAATGACGAATCATCTAATAATCTAATAGTTGATTGTAATTGAATCTTTTATATAAAAAAAGGGAAATAATGTTCAGAATTATCAAAGTGTGCATTCTCATACCTTTCATTCACTCACATCTACAAACACAATACTTGTCATACTATTAATCTAACCTGTTTCATTCTTGGAGATATTAACATAACCGTTAATCTTCACTCGGACGTCAGTCATGTTGAACTTGCATTTCTCATTTTCTCCACGGTATGGGTACTTCTCTTCGCTCATGGCTCCTCCTGATCAAACCAACACAATGAGAAATACAATCAAAAGGAAAATTTGAATAAGTGAGAATTCATGCGCTACTATGCAGGAACAAGTACTTTACAAAAATAATGATCATACTGACTGTATTAATTTCAAGCTAAACAACTTTTAGTCCTCAATTTAGTTTATGAAACTTGTATCGTCTTTGAACTCCCAAATCTAGTCAGTTTATGCTAATATCAACTACATGTATTCAAAATTTTAATAAAACTTTACGTATCTTCTTCATGACATAGTCTATGCTGCATTTACATGCTGAATGTAATGTGTAAATTGGACAAACATAAACTGATGAGATATTTATTTCATACCCAGTTTGATGATAGCTTCATAAGCATCGCTCATCTCTCCTCCTTCACATCCCCCATCAACCTTGTCACAATCAACCAGCTCTGGAAATGAAGAAATAAAAATAAACGTAGAAAGAAGGAAAAAAAATCCTATAAATGTGAAGAAGATCCATAGGTTAATATCCCTTCTTGGAATCATTTGTGTCCTGACAAGATTTTAAAAATTCAATATATTTTGCCTCTGTAGAAAAAAAGTATAAGGGGAAGTGTTAGGTTAAGAAAGTCTTTGTTGATGAAATTATCAATCGTCAGGTGGAGATGGTGCACATCTGTGTGAGGGTTCTTTTTAAAGCATGCAATACAAGTTATGTTAAAACTGTCAAAACTGCTTTAACAACATATATTAAAAAAACCTGTCTATGAAAACTTCATTTTTTTGTTTCATTATTGGTGATTTTTATTATTAAAAACAGGTTTGAAAAACTTTTTGATGACCATTTGTCTAGAAAGATAGATTTTCTTGTATTTCTTGAGGGATTTGATAGGTTTGAATTTACTCACTAAAGCCTTGAGCTATCCCACAAGCCTTACCGGTATTCGAAATGAATAGAACAGTTGGAGAGGCAATTCTTAGAGATTTGATGTCCAAATTTGAGTAATAAACAAAAAGTTTTTTCACAAAAAGGAATTATGCAGGGTTCTCACCATATGTTACATCTTGGTATATCGATTACACCCCTATGACAGTTACCTTTATGATAATAACTATAATCACCCCCCCCCCCCCACATGAAGGTCTTGCATAAGCGACACACGTGGCATCTTCAAACAATTTACAGCTGAGAAGCGTGACTTTGCCTCACCTTGCTCTGACAATGAAATGAGCTCCCCTTTCTTGATCTGCCACTGCCCTTCCATGTTACCAATGGCAGAGAAGGCCCAGCAGGACCCACACATGCCTTGGTTCTTGACCGGAGTGACCGCCCCATGAGTCCTCCAATCATACTCCTCGGGGACTGGACCCTGTGGAATGGCCGCCTGCTTCTTGATGCCGGTTTTCTTGAGAGGGCCTGACTGTAACTTACGGAACTCAGCCTCTGTATAGATAAAATTGTGTTTTAGCACAACCTTAATGTTTCAGGTAAATTTGATTCAGTAAGTTATCTTTTGCCAAAAATTCATAATGAACAGTTTTTCAAATCTGTTTACGCAAGTGGAATGTCATATATTCCCCACACGTGCAAAAACTAATTATTCACACACACAAAAATCAAAATACTTGGTTATTGTTATTCCTTGTTACTTATCATAAAAATTACAATGTGATAAACTCTTGTTTCTGTACTCGTAATGACAACTTTCTCTTTAAAAATAATTGATAGAGAGAGAGAGAAGAATATTGTAAAAGTTGAGTTGATTCACATAACAAATCTTTTCAACAGTCATAAAAACATAATGTTGACTGACGAATCCTATAATCATGTCAGGCCTTCTTAAAGAATAATGAAGTGAAAACAAAACAAGACGACTCCCTTCTCTATCCAGCGATAATTGTAATCACATCGGGCCTCTTTGAAGAATTATGAAACAGTAAAAAATACTACAAGGTAAATCCCTTACACATCAAGCCTTCTGTAAGAATTATGAAAAAGAAATAAAAGGGATATGAGTCAAATACCGGTACATGACAAATCCCTCTTTATCTGACAAATATTTGAAGTATGATTATAAGATGCTTACTGTGTATGCAAGGCCAATGTGTTGCACAAAGAATGTTTTCATTTGTTTACATGTATTTGTCCAATGTACATTTGACATGGATAATGTTTTTCTCACATACAATTAAAAAGGCTTAGACATAGTTGAGGAGAACATGCAGATTAAAAAAGAGATACCAAACATTGATAAATGGCTATGGAGTCTGTTCCACATGCAGAACCTTACCAGTTATCAAAATGTATACGGTATTTCAAATCTGAAATAAAACCACAGACAAGGTTCCCGTGCTAAGCTGTGTGTTGGTAACTGAACCACTACATATGTAGCATAAATGTGTGTGATCATGAAAACATTCTAACCTGTCATATCAGCAAACTTAGTGGGTCCATACTTTGCTGTTCCTTGCTCAAACTGATTGAACATCTCCACAGTCAACATATTCTGCACAAAGACTGAGTAGCGATATTCATATTCTGCAATAAGCAAGGCAGAGAACAGGTTGAAAGTACTACCAGTAGTTGAAACACAGTTGTTAAAGTAGTTAAATTTATTATTCATTTGGTTTAAAATATAACAAAAGAAATCCCTGAAGTTTTTAAGAACAAATTAAATATTGGAAAAAGGAAAAAAAATAGTATTCCTTTGCAATAAAAAAAAAGAAGAATATCATTCACGACACAGTAAATAAAGTATCCATAAAATCATAGATTAGATTTTTTTTTTAAAGGGCTCAATTACGTTTGTACAATTGCAACCATCACAAACTTTTTCAAGACTCTATATGAAAAGTTTCATATTTATGAATTTCCCCCATTCATAATCAGACTCGCACAACAACATATATTTTTGTTAATCATCACATAATTTATTCTATATTGATCCTGTTACTCCAAAATTCTAGGAGCTGCAGCACATAAATTTAAATTTTGCACTACCGGTACATATAAAATGTAGGCACTATACCAACACATAATACAGCTTATAACTTGGCTTAAAAGGAAATGCTGCTACTAATAATTATTTTGAAAAGGAAACCAAGAAAATCTCATGACTCTTCACGGCAATGGACTTTGCTATGTTCATCCATTGTTATCACTTTCTCTCTTGATACAGCTTTAAAGGCCCACTGCACTACTTGTAGCTACTTGCGCCCTCTTACAACAAACAATGCCTAATTGGTGACCATTGGTCCCCCATGATCCTCTTTTTCTTATGTTAACTGAGAGCTGAGTTGATGAGGTAACCACCTGTCCAGTGACCTTGCAGGGCGCTCTAATCCCTCCTGTAAACTATGGCAGATAAGCTTTAATAGGAAAATGAACTTTTTAATTCAAGTTTCCGTGTATATTTTCTTCTTCACCACTTATCAATCTCATAGAAACTCCACCAAATTATTATTGGAAAGCACATGAAAAACATTCAAGGGTTTTGAATTTCATCCCAGTAAACATTATAGTCTTATTACAAGAATGTTCAAAGTTCCTATGGTGATACATACTATCACCAGGTTTGAATCTCATACCTCTAGTGGTTCTTGAGATATCGCAATGGTGAGGGCCAATACCTGTACATTCATAAATTGACTTCTATGACCTTTGACCTTTGGCCTACTTACTCCAAAATCTATTCAGAATGTTTTCTTTTGGTGATACAAATTATGCTATCACCAAGTTTTAAAGTCATACCTCAAGTGGTCCTTAAGATATCCTGATAATGAGAAAGCAGGACACACGTATGGACGATCTGAAAACATAATGCCCCCTGCACCATCTTTGGTGAGCGGAAGCATAAAAAGGGTAATATTTATCATGCAACTTCTCTCTCTTCCATATGCGGTGACCTACCATTTGTGCCATCATTCTGTCTGTATTCCCTCTTGAATGTCATCAGAAACTTATCAAACAGATCACGGTATTCATCCTTGGATAGCGGTATAAAAGACAATACAATGCAAATTTAGTTTTGTCTCATAACATATTTATAAAAACTTTGATAAACGAAAATAAAAATTGTTTATTATTATTATTATTATTATGTCACTGTTTAAATTGCAAAATTAATGATCTTTTATCAAATGTGCATTTTTAGTGATTTATCTCCCTACATATCACAACCATTTCTATCTGGGTTAGCCATCTCTTTAATCTATTAAAAAATCAAATTACCGGTAGACCAAATCAGGGGCGGATCTAGCTTTTTGCTAAGGGGGGGGTTGACCAATAATGACGATGCAGAGCATCGTCCACGAGCCGCGAAGCGGCGAGCTGATTTTTTTTGGGGTGTTTATTTGAACCCCGTAAGTGATGTTTTCCTGGCATCTATTAACACAATGGAGACCATAAAAAGCAGTGCATGAACACGGCCGTATTACACCCCCATGTATGGTAATTTACCCTGTATGCCAACTTTTTTGCATGATTCAAACATACCTTCCAGTAAAAAAAGATGCGAGACTGGATTGCCGCAACTTCTTTGCCCTGTTTGCTTCCATATTGCTTGTCACTACACTCAGACCAGACTGATAAAAAAGTGAGCAACTTGAACAAGTAATCCAGGAAATGAGCAGCCCAGCTCAGCGTGCGTTGCCAGGTTAAATCTTCACTAATCCCCACCCAAACGACACTTAAAATATCCCCAAAGTTGCCAAATTTTGACAGAAAATCCCCAAATTCGTTTTTCATAAAACTCAATATTATTTTCATTCCCAAATATTTATTTTTCATCCCCAAAGACTTCAACAATCCCCCAATTTTTTTATTTTTTTAATGTGGGGATTTTGGGGATGAGAATCGGCAACGCTGGCCTAGCTTGTCACTTCGGCGGTGGCCCGTGTCCTCAAAAAAGCTGATGGGGGGGGGGGCAAGGGACTCTGTGACATTTGTTCGCCCAACCCCCCCCCCCCCCCTCCCCCCAAAAAGAAATAATAATAATAATAATAATAATAATAATAATAATAATAATAATAATAATAATAATAAATGAAATAAATACATAGAAATAGAATAAAATAAAATTACAAGTTTAAAAAAAAAGATAAGATTTTAAAAAATGGTCCCCGGATTTTTTTTTTGGGGGGTTGCAACCCCCCCAACCCCCCCTCTAGATCCGCTTCTGCAAATAAACCAGTTTTCTTATCATTAAAGTATTTAGGACCATAATCTAACTTTGTCATAAATGTCATAGTGACTGGGTATCTTTAAAGTGTACCAATCAACTGAAAATACTTTTGCTCTGAATGTTGCATATGTCACTATACTTATCCAATTTCACAATTTCACAACAATTTACTAGAAACTGAAACTATACCCAAGAGATCACCATGATAGGCCGCCTTCTGGCTCTAGTACTACAACAATGTATTGTAACTGCAGTTCGGATGAAACTTGTTTGCAGACATAAAGATGTATAAGGACCAGGCTACTTCTGTGAGTTGGCTGAGTGAAGCTCTCTAAAATATGTCAGGCGTTAAAAGAGTGTGGAAAGGTGTGGAAATATGTTCAGATGTGACCCAGTAAAGCGCCACCAAAAAAAAAGAGTGATTTTTCCTAATAAATAGATGGCAACTTCGGTCCTACACATATGCACTTTATGTCATACTTAACACTTCAAACACTTTATGTAATACAAAACCTGCTTTTCACTCACTTTTATATCCGATGCTTGGCAATCCTTTGTGATACTAAAGTCTTGGGCTTTCAGAGATAGAGAGCTTTCAGAATTCATCTTGGGCTGACTCCAAACCTTGATGTGACACTCAAAGAAATCCTACATTTCAAGAGATTTAATACAGAAAAGGAACATTGTATAAACATTTTACAGGAAAGGAAGCCTTATTACAAAACAGTGAAAATTAACATGTAAGATGTAAATAGCTTGTTAACATAGAATGTGATTTTCATTTACTTCAGTTTTTTGCGTTAGTTTTCTCCTATCTCAAATTTGTGAATATGTATGTTTTGTTGTTGTTGTTTTGTGTTTGTTTGTTTACTTTCGTAACCGACATCATACGTGTACATGTATATTTAAAACCCTTATGAGTATTACTTCACTTGGTAACTCTTTGAACAAACCTTCTGAACTTCTGGTCGAACAGATTTGCTTTCCTTTGGAGTTGGTGATAACCCGGCAATGATTGTAACATGGTACATCAAGCCTCTGACAACCTATAAAATGGAGAATACACAAACAAACAAAAAATCAATCATATGGCATGCATTGTCTTTCTTGCAAGTTGCAACAGGTGTTCTTGGAGGAATACCAGCCAACTGCTCATACCAGTTCAGAGGGTAACCACAAAACAGGACTGGCAATGCATTAAATAACAAATACAGCAAGAATTGATAACTGGACATCAATTTCTAGTACCTTCTTCGATATACCGGTATATACCTGTACCGAAGTAGTATATTTATGTGGAAGACAAAAGTTTGAGACTGCTTAAAATACTTGATGGGAGGGAGCATTTTTGAGCTGGAGTGCTTGGTGATAATTGAAAGTTTACGAAATATATCAATAGAAAGAGACAATATATACAGGCTTATTATATTCAATATCTTAGAGCATATTAAGTATCATTAGGCTACTCAGACATTTCATAAATCACCAAGGCTGTAACTTGTAAGGCTAGCCTATGGCAACGAAAGATTGATCAGTTTTACTAGCATAAGCAGTTCTGAAAATAAATCAGATTTATCTTTCAAATTCAACAACTTACCTGAACTTTTACTTGTGTTACAGAAGGTCTAGTCAATGAACGGCCATATCTCCCTTCGAGGCGGGCCCTCATACTTTCGAATTTCACCAGTGCACTCTCAACAACGTCTTGCGGAATCGACTTCGGTTTAGCAGAGTCAAAAATGCCCCCTGCCATTCCCTTTTCCATCCTATTTTTGACAGCTACAGCTATACCGACGAACATCAACAGAATACATAGCGTCTTGATCTCCATTTTGTCAGATAATTAATACAGAGAGCATACAGGTACTACTAGTAAAAGTACGACAAGGCATTTGTTCAGGAACTAGCTCTATTATAAACAACGGCGTTATATATGCGCGATGATATATACGTCATTCCAAAACAGAGACCTTTAATAATGTATCAAGATAATTTACTCTGACTTACTTCCGTAGTACGCTCGGCGAGGGGATATTGCTGTGTTTTTCTCTATGGTTTTCTTTTTCATCACTAAATATAGCATTCTCAACATTGGCAAAGTGCATATTAAACTCATTTGCTGTGATAAAGTGTCAGAAAGATATAGGAACAGAAGATAAAACGTATTCATGAGATATAATAGATAATGAAACTCTCCAATATTCACTTCTACTTTGGTTTTGACTTAATCTTTTAATTTCTTCTTGTTTTTTCTATATTTTCAGACGTGACTTTATATTTCAGGCAACTATACTATATAGTTTCGTCTTTATAACTTAACCTTTTCCGGAACATTGTTTATCTCTTTCTTTATTGTGTAAAGAGATTCATTTACCCACGGAGAATGTTTGTGTTTTATTTTAAATCGAGTACTATATCCTAAAATAGTTTGATAAAGTTATTCCCATTTATACACGGCTTCGTAATCGTCTATACCATACCAATTTTGGTTTATAACCCCTTTTTTAAAACCCTCAATATCGATTATCTTTTACAATTAGTTTATTTCATACATTTTTTTCTTCATTTCTATTAGCAAGATGTGATACCAGAAAACTCATAGCATATAAGGCGGTTACTGATTTTACCAAACGACTTTGTTTTATCAATACAATTGGTTAGTATTATATAATCACAACTCTTGTGCATTCTGAGGTCTCACTCGTTCGAAATAATAAAGTCTGGAAAATACAGGTCGTTTTAAGAGATCACAATTAACATCACCCATTACAATGATAAATAAATAATCCTTCTTAATGATCAACGTCTTTGATATATTTCAATTGCCACTGTTTTTGTTGTTCACATAGTTCATGCAAAAAATCCCCCTAACACTTTTTTCAATTAAGTACCCCAAAATTGCCCCTTTTACTTTAAAACGCGCCCCTATTACTTTGTAAAAGTGCCCCTTCCCCCTTTTCACCTCCGATGATAAGTGCCCCTTAGTGACAATTAAGTTCCCATTTTCCTTTGCATAATAAGACAGTGTCCATTTTCCATCCTCATAAGACATATTAAGTGCCCTTTTTGTGCCCCATTCACCTTTGATAATGACTGTCTCCATTCAAATCTGAGAGGTTGCGACCCGGGTTGCGACACCCCCCCCCCCCCCCACTTGTCAGGATAAATTTGCGCTGCTGTCCGAGACTAAGGGGGAGGGGAAAAGGAGAGGGAATGGGAAAGAAAAGGAAAAGAAAGGACAGAAAGGAAAGAGAGGACAGAAAGAGAAAAAAGAAAAAGAGGATATAAGGAGAGGAAAGAAAGGAAAAGGAAGCCGAAAGAAGCGGGGGACGAAAAAAAGGAAAGAGAGAGGCCCCTATATATATATATATATATATATATATATATATATATATATATATATATATATATATATATGCATGCTTTAATTGGACTGCAGAATCCCCTGATCTATACGTGAACAGAATGATTTTATGAGTAACTAAACAGTTATAAGGGCCTATGTAGTATTCTTTGAAACTATGCAAAATGTGAATAACATAATATTTGAAGATGTGGAAAAGACTACATGAATCCCCGGCATGAATCCCGACATGAATGTTCCAAAAGTCGAAGAAACCTCGCCTTCGAAAAATTGTCAACTGCCATAATAGGGTAACATGAGTTAACAAGGATTTTGAAATTGATCATCATATTCCCATCGCCGCAAAAAGACATACCATAATGAAATTTTAGACTTTATAATTTCAAGATAGACCCCGCAATTTTCCCAGAGACTATGCATGCTAATTGACCAACAAAAGAAAAGAAGGAAGAAAAGGGCCAGATGCTAAATACGAAAGAAAAGAGTTGGTATTTATGTCGTGAATGTGATCATATGGTGGCCCTGAAGGGACATCGCGAATAGACTAAATCGTGAAAAATATGCGATAAAATTCACGATATCGTCAATTTTATCGCATATTTTTCACGAAGAAATTCACGAAATTGACGATATCGTGAACTTTATCGTGAACTTTTCACGATGAAATTGACGATATCGTGAATTTTATCGTGAAAAGTTCACGATATATAAAGTTCACGATATCGTCAATTTTATCGTGTACTCTATCGTGTACTCTATCGTGTACTCTCCTGACGGGCGCTTCGTAAACAAAACCAGCCCTAGCTGGGGGAGACAGAGAGAAGGAAAAAAGGGAAAGGGAAAGAGAAGATAAAAGGAAAGAAAGAATAATAAGAAGAAAAGAGGGAAACGGGGGGGGGCGAAGGGCTCTTGCCTCCTCCTCACTCCCCCCCCCCCCCGCCAAAAAATAAATAAGGAGAGAGAGAAGGGAAAGGGAAAGGGAAAGAAAATATAAAAGGAAAGAAAGAAGAGGAAGAAGGAAAGAGGGAAACGGGGGAAGGGCGAAAGGCTCTTACCTCCCCCCCCCCGCCAAAAAAATAAATAAGAGAGAGAGAGAGAGAGAGAGAGAAGGGAAAGGGAAAGAAAGAAGAGGAATAAGAGGGAAACAGGGGAAGGGCGAAGGGCTCTTGCCTCCTCCCCCCCCCCCCCCCGCCAAAAATAAATAAGAGAGAGAAGGGAAAGGGAAAGAAAATATAAAAGGAAAGAAAGAAGAGGAATAAGAAGGAAAGAGGGAAACGGGGGAAGAAATAAATAAGAGATAGAGAGAGAAGGGAAAGGGAAAGGGAAAGAGAAGATAAAAGGAAAGAAAGAAGAGGAAGAAGAAGAAGAAAAGAGGGAAACGGGGGCGAAGGGCTCTTGCATCCCCCCGCCCAAAAAATAAATAAGAGAGAGAGAGAGAGAGAAGGGAAAGGGAAAGAGAATAAAAAAGGAAAGGAAGAAGAATAAGAAGAAAAGAGGGGCTCTTGCCTCCTCCCCCCTCCCGCGCCAACAAATAAATAGGAGAGAGAGAGAGAGAGAGAGAGAGGGGAAAGGGAAAGGGAAAGAAAGAGGGAAACGGGGGAGGGGCGAAAGGCTCTTACCTCCCCCTCCCCCCTCCCGCCATAAAGGGATAGAGAAGGGAGAGGGAAAGAAAATATAAAAGGAAAGAAAGAAGAGGAAAAAGAATAAGAAAAGAGGGAAACAGGGGCGAAGGGCTCTTGCCTCCTTTCGTTTCTTTCTTTTCCTTTCTTTCCTATTCTCCCTCTTTTTCGTTTTTCTCTTTCTTTCTTCTCTTTCCCTTTCCTTCTCTTTCTCTCTCTTATTTATTTTTTGGCGGGGGGCGGGGGGACGAGGCAAAAGCCCTTTGCCCCCGTTTCCCTCTTTTCTTCATCTTCCACTTCTTTCTTTCCTTTTATCTTCTCTTTCCCTTTCCCTTTCCCTTCTCTCTCTCTCTCTGATTTATTTTTTGGCGGGGGGGGGGGAGGGGGGCAAGAGTCCTTCGCCCTTCCCCCGTTTTCCTCTTTTCTTCTTCTTCCTCTTCTTTCTTTCCTTTTATCTTCTCTTTCCCTTTCCCTTTCCCTTCTCTCTCTCTCTCTGATTTATTTTTTGGCGGGGGGGGGGGAGTGAGGAGGAGGCAAGAGCCCTTCGCCCCCCCCCCCGTTTCCCTCTTTTCTTCTTATTATTCTTTCTTTCCTTTTATCTTCTCTTTCCCTTTCCCTTTTTTCCTTCTCTCTGTCTCCCCCAGCTAGGGCTGGTTTTGTTTACGAAGCGCCCGTCAGGAGAGTACACGATAGAGTACACGATAGAGTACACGATAAAATTGACGATATCGTGAACTTTATATCGTGAACTTTTCACGATAAAATTCACGATATCGTCAATTTCATCGTGAAAAGTTCACGATAAAGTTCACGATATCGTCAATTTCGTGAATTTCTTCGTGAAAAATATGCGATAAAATTGACGATATCGTGAATTTTATCGCATATTTTTCACGATTTAGTCTATTCGCGATGTCCCTTCAGGGCCACCATATGATCATGTATGTATTCCTGTACGAGAAATACATGCCTGTATACCACAATATGCTCGTCTGTTTAGTTTCGGGACTGATCTCTCTTTGGCACGCATAGATTATGCTGCGCTGCCAGCTGATTTCTCATCTCGCTCGAAATCCTTTTTCGATCTAATACCCCTGTATATGAATAATGATTACAATAAAAAACATAAATAGTATTTACTTTTTAATCAAATTAAAACAATAAAATAAATAAATATTTCTATAAATATTTATTAAATTGCAAAACTATATCTTTCTAAATTCTTATTATATATATTCTAAAACAATTATTTGATAGTTTGGGATTATATTGACAAGGTGGAGAAATTTACGAGCAGCTAGCTGAGTCAGAGAAGAGACCCCTGAATGATCTAAAAATGTCAGAATCATACGGTAAGTGACACTTTATTTATTGATAAATGGGTCTAAACTAAGAACATGAATGAGGATTAATATGCTGATGGTGGTTGTAAGAATGGAAGACCCTTCTATCCCAAACCAGGTCCACGTCCATATCGCCTTGTCTACGCAAGACAATGTCAATGCAATTGCAATGATGAAGTGGGTTGTGTTTTCAATGTTCATTGTCACTGACACTCAGTAAACACTGTCACTTGTGAAAAACCTGTCTGCTTGGAGAAAACATGTTTTTTCTTTTGGGTGTTGACGCTCTCTTCAAAGACAAACTGCAGAGGTAACTAATGTTGTGGTAATCTGTGCCTTTCCTGAAACTAAAGCTGATTTCTTTTAAATTTAAGTAGAATCTAAGCATGTTGCTCGACATGTTTTGTGGCTCGACATGTTTTGTGACTAGTCTAGATCTAGACCTAGATCATGTTAATCCATAAGGCATAATTAACTCCAGGGAGTTCCGCCACCACCGAAGGCGTTGAATCTACAGAGCCTGCACAGGAAAACGATTCAGACAGCGGGTTGGGTCACATTTTCGCGGAATGTAAAGAAGTAGTAATTACAATTTTGACTTACATTGTTTTTTGACTCCTCTGGGCACCAGTTCAACCACACATAGGAGCATCACTATCCTGGCTGTGTAGTAAAAGCTGTGCTTTTGATTCTCAACATTTCAAACACCACTGTACAAAACTCAACTGATTTCACTCAAAATCGGTACTTTAGTGACAATTGATGACACCTAAATAGCAGTAAAATACATTTTTTTCAACTTAATGATGTTAAAAAGAATAATTTAAAAATTCAAATTGTAAGTCTAGTATCAAACTTTGCTTACAGCTGCATTGACATGATTGTGTACAGTCTATGCGATATTGTGTGGTGTGTGTATTTGTGTATAGACTTTTAGGTCCCTGCCTCACAGCATGTATGCAGTGCTAGAGGTCAATACGCATTGGCATTGACTCTCTAAGCTTTGCTGGAGTGAGTACAACCACTTGAAATTATAATTTGAAGAAGTCTTTGAATTTGATGGGTAAAAGGGTAATTCCTCATCCTAACCCAATTCATCCCATGTTGTTTATCCTCGATTCAACATGGTGAAGAGAAAGTATGCATGCTGACAGTACATACTGTGCATGTACTTTTTCTTCGCCATGTTGAATCAACGATATACAACATGGGATGGATGGTGCAAAATATACGGGAATTGTCAATCAGGTTTTAGCACTAGCCAAAAGCGATGGCACTATGGCATTGTCGAGAGAACAAAAGAGAAGTATAATAAATGTGTTAGCAGCCCGTCATTACCCATCGGGTACTATGGTATCGCCAAAAGAGCTTGATATTATAATAAATGTTTACTTTAGCAGTCTGCTGTCGTCTTGACAATACCATAATAATGTTGCTTCTAGCAAGCACTATACTGACTTTAGCTTAATTGGCGATTTCTGTCAGTCTTGAATTTTTGCAAAGCTTCAAAGATTTTGCCTTTCCTTCTTCATTTTTAAGGTTGGTAAGTCATATTTTTGTACAATAAATTCATAAGATCTTTAATACCAGTATCCTGAAAGCTACAACAATATATATGCAAGTTTTGTTTGGTTCATGTTTTTATAAGCTCAGAGTGTACAGCAAATGGCATACCCATATCTAATCGCCTGCTATTCAGGTGTCCGGCAAGAAAATCTATCAAACTGATGTGGCCTTTGTGACATTTTAAAGGGGAATCCACCCTGATATTAATTTGGGTTTAATAGGAGCATAAAAATGAGAGAAACCTGTAACTGAAAGTTTGACCAAAATTCAATTAAAAATAAGAAAGTTAGGAATATTTGAAGGTGTGATCAATCAAACACAAATTGTCTATTGTACACTGATTTTTGTGTGATAGTTGAATAACAAGTTTAGGAATTGTTACAATTAATTCAGACTATAGTTAATTGATGAACAGAAACTTATTTTGATACAAGATGGAAGCCAGAAAGGCTGTCTTGTCAGACAGTTCAGTTAGCTTTTCTCTGACTAGATCTTTTTGTTTTCATCATTATAATTCTTCATTCCTCAGATTTTTTGTTCAAATTCCTGGTCATTGGGAGCGCAGGAACAGGAAAGTCATGTATTCTTCATCAATTCATCGAAAGCAAATGTAAGTTAACAATTTTTTATTTTATTCTTTCGCTATGATAATAATTTTGTGGTTTAATATTAATAGCTTAAAGCTATTATTTACATTATGTGAGTAAATAAGTTTGATTGTGCTATTAGACATTTTGACTTGGTTGTAAAAGCAATTTATCTGTTCCCTGATTTACTGGACATGACAATCTAAGAATAACATCCCTAAAAGTTTTTCAGAAAAATGAAATGATGCAGGGAAAATCTATGTTCTATGCAATAAGAATAATAAGAAGTGTAATATATTGTGGTCCAAATAACTCTACAGTCAATCATAACAATTTCATATCCAAAGCAAAATTCCTACCCATATAATCTTGCTTTTCATGTCCTCTTACACCAATTTGTTTATCAATTACAAAGCATCATCAAAAGTGGTGATGAGTTCTATGATTCTTTTGCACATAATTGGTACATTTAAAAGACTGAAATATATATGTACATGTAGAATTGGCATTATCCAATCTCCATACACTCTGTCATATATGTTAGAATTCTCAATGTATATTTATTTTTCCATTTCAGTCAAACAAGACTCAAATCACACAATAGGTGTTGAGTTTGGCTCAAAGATCATCAATGCTGGAGGAAAATCAGTCAAGTTACAAATCTGGGACACAGCAGGTCAAGAAAGGTTTAGGTACGAACAATAATTATCCAGTGAGAAGAAAGATGTTTGTGGCTATACCAACAATAATGTTTGGTATTAGAATTATTATTGAAAGTCATTAAATGCAGTGATAACATTCATTTCTAAGCGCATAGGGACTTTCTTTGTGTGAGTGATATGCGCTATATAAATAACGTTCATTATTATTATTATTATTATTAAAGGTAATACAAAGTCTTGGGAAATTTTGAAAAAGGCCGGATAGCGATTCTTTACAATTTTGATACATTTGGATGCCCCTGAGAATGTAGTATAAGCACTAGTAAAATTAGCCCCTAAAACACTTCTGCTTTTGAAAAAATTGAATATAAAAATTTACCGGTGCTCCCGGTAAATTTTGATAAATTTCAAATAGCTTATACGGCCATCCAATGGTAGCTGCGACCGTGAAATTCTCAGAACATGCAGTTGTGATATATGATTTCCAAACGGGAATAGCAAATTGGTCGATTTTAGTCAAGAAACATTGTTTTAAAGCTTTTTGATATCTTGACCTTGAGAAGGAGCTATACAACATAAAGACTTTATTACTTACAATTTCATCACTGTAAACTCGATTATAACCGCGACAACGATCACTGAATATTGTAGGATCGCATATGCTTCCAATATGTTCATTTAAACCAAATTCATGACCCCATACCAAAACTTTGTATTACCTTTAATGGGGTACTTACTCTTGTAAGAAAATTCATGGTTTTAGCCTGTCACAGTAAAACAAAACAAAAAGAATTTCAAGTAATTGTTTTATTGATATTTTGATATTTCCTGAGGATTATTAACAGAAATTAAAATAAATCAAATGCTGATCTACATGAACTGGAGTGACATGGATATAGATTATTGCCCACCCTACAATGCTATTGTAGTTTACTGCAGAATAGGTAATTATTCAAAGCTACTGAGAATTGTGAGCTTTTTGTTATTGGCTGAAAACATTAAACGCTGGTTTTTATCATTATATTTGCTTAACCAAAAGATCAATGAATTTGCATGATATTGCTTATTGCCAATCTGATGATTAAGATTAATTAAAATGGTATTAATAAACCTGAAAATAGTAGTAATAAAAGATTATTGACACTTTCTTTCTTTCTTTGTTTATATTGTTCTATTGCATTATTATTGTTTTGTTGTTATATTATTAGGTCAGTTACAAGGAGTTACTACAGAGGTGCAGCCGGGGCATTACTTGTCTATGACATCACAAGGTTAGTATTAACAGAAAGTGAGTTTCAAACTTATCAGTACCCTCCGTCCCCTCCCTTTTACATGAGATTTTAATGAGAATCGAATCGAGGCAAGTATGTGTACCATTTACAGTACATGTTAGATTGAAATTGGTGAAAAGACTATCCTCTCAACAAATTGAGTGAGATATAGGCATATTGATAACATGGTGTTTGGCAAATTAGCAAGCTACATGTATGTTTGAGTAATTTGATGAATTTGAGCCTGCAGTACTAATACCCTATAATCCACAGAGTTTAGGTTACATTCATTTAGAATGTTGGGTCGACGTTTATATCATGTATGAATAGATTATTTTTATCTTAATATATGTAAACAAAGTGTGAATGGAGGAAACAGGGGAATTTAAATTGTATTATTTCTTCTTGGGCTATAATATATTCTAAAATCCTACCACTTTGTAGGTATATTTTGCTTGTTATTAAATCAATATAATAGGACAAACCATTACTATTATACATGTACAAGTCAATGGGTAAAGATTCATATAGTTCAGATAGACATATGTGCAACCAATAATAAGTGTTAATTCTGCATTTTCAGTTTGTTACAACAATAATTATCCAACCTCTCATGCTTGGTCTGTTCGCCATCCCAAATCAATGGTGCCTGTAATAGATTTTATCCAGGCTGCCAGTTTGGCACATTATACTTCAAGGTTCCTAGTATGACAGTAGGAATGCTAGGAAGCTTTGCGAGAGAGACTTGTGAATGGTACTGATTTGAATTCAAGCAGTCATATTTATCATGTACTTTCAGAATTTCATTCTAATTCCTTTCTCTTTTCTACCCAGTCGAGAGACATACAATGCTTTGACAAAATGGCTGACAGATGCAAGAACGTTGGCTAGTCCAAACATCGTTATCATCCTCTGTGGTAACAAGAAGGATCTCGACGCAGATAGAGAGGTTACCTTCCTAGAGGCCAGTAGATTTGCACAAGAGAATGGTAAGAAAGACTTCTTGGATTCAAAGAAAGACCAAATATTTTGGTAAATAAGGTATGACATGTTAAGATCTGTCTGTGCTAGTTTGGCCAGGGGGATAGACCTCCCTGCAAGGTCACTGACAGGTGGTTATCTTATCAAATCAGCTCGGCATTGTTTGCTATATAGAGGGCCCAAGTAGCTATAAGTAGTGTAGTGGGGCTTTAATATACAGTGGCATTTGAAAGCCTCATTGAGATATGTGGTAAACCCAGGCTGTTTTCTTTTTCTTTTTAATTATGTAAGTGTCATAGCTTCACATTTCTGTTTATTTTAGCACAGACCTTAGTTACTAATAGGGGTAGGACCTTTGTTTTGCACAGTTGCAATTTATTTACATTTTACTAAACAAAAGAAAATGATTTACCGCTTCATATCTGAACAAGTTTGAAGTTATAACTTGAGTTCAAGGAGCTTCTTTTGTTGTATTGTTTATCGGAATCACCACTTTGTAATAACTTATTGATTTGTGTTGTGTCTTTCAGAAATGATGTTCCTAGAAACAAGTGCGTTGACAGGAGAGAATGTAGAAGAGGCTTTCTTGAAATGTGCCAGATCGATACTCAACAAAATAGAATTAGGTAAGAATGAGTTACGAGAAACATATTGTTCTATGTCATTCCTTATATTAGGGATAGGCCTTTTCGTGTCCATGTTAAGAGTTTGAGATTGGATGTAGGAGATGATTACTGGTTGCAAACATTCAAATCTTCTCAAATGTATTTGTTTCTTTGGAATGCTCATTCAAGCAATGTGGCCTATTTGAATAAAAAGAAAATATAGTTCGCCTTCTTATATCTGTGTACCAGATTGACACATACATATCGACTGGAATTCTAGACATTTTCATTTGACCCCCATAGCAGTTTTTCAGAAGTACTTTTGAAAGCTCTCCAGATTTAGATATCTATCAGAGTGGTTATGTAACACATGCTCCTGCGACAACTGCTTCACAGTCAGTTTCTTACATTTATCATATCAAATTCATATGTTCAATCCTGCCTGGACATAAAAAACAAAGAAAAACCTTACATTTACCCTGTATACCTAATCTTAAATCCAATTGTAACCCTAACCCTAACCCTGTACTTTTGGACACACAAAAAAGCAAATGCAGGATCACCCTCAGAGCCCTTGTATTATTTTGACTGGTTTCAACCATTAAAGAATGTATACCATGTTTGTGTCTTGTGTGTTTAGGTGAGTTAGATCCAGAGAGGATGGGATCAGGAATCCAGTACGGTGATTCCACTCTCCGGAAAGTCACCAGACCGCCTGTCAGGAGTACCCAACAATGCCCATGCTGAGGAAACCATCTTGACAACCTATGATCATCAATAATAGCTCCAGCCAGCCAACACGTCCAACACCCAAGCCCTATAAACCATGCCAATCGTGAAACCTCTATGATGCCGGTCCATACCTTTTGACGTCCCTTCCTGGTGAAGTTTGTAGGTTCAGATGTAACGCTTCATATAGTGCACACACCTTCATGACAGACATAGAGATTATGAATATTTATGATTGCTTTAATATTCCATTCAAACAATCTCACTATTACAGTCATATGTATGTTCAATGACTGCTTGCTAACTTGAAAAATGTATTTTATTCATAAGAAAGTCTTATTGCACAAATTTGTAAGTTGATGGAAATATCCTCCAACTTTTTTCAAGAAAATGAGAAGGAATCTACTCAGAATTTATGTTTTGTTGAAGTGCTGGTAAACCAGGTATATACTAGAAAACTTGTGATATAGAGACTGCTTGTGCAGTTGAATAGTACACACACAAGCTGCTAGTTTGTGCCAGGAGGCTACCATGCATGTCAGTCTGAACTTTGATTTACAATTTACTTGCAATAACTAACTAGTGTATATATATATATATATATATATATAGGAGCTTACACCAGGTGAAGTGGGTGATTGAAACAAGTCTCTATATGGTGATATGGTAATGGCTGTCTTAGTAAAGGACAGTCATATGATGATGAGGGTAGATTCCTTCATACCTTCCTGTAGAGCAAAGATCAATGCTATGATCTAGGAATGTGTGTAGTTCAATACTATGCACCCCTTCATTATTTTCTATCACGGTCTGCTGAAAAAATATCACAAAAGTATCTGCTTGACAGTACATACAGTGTAAGACTCATGTTAAAGTGTATGATGAATGGAATATCATATTTACATACTTGTTAACAAACCATGAAAAAAACATGCTATTTTACTCTATCAGAAATAACTGTTGAAGTTTTTGCACGCTGGTACTACAAAGCATTACCTGGGTTTTATAACGTATTCCTTAACTGTGAAGTAAGCATTTCGCAATTGGATTCTCAGCTTATCTTATGTAAGGATGTTTAAAAGTAAAATTCAATACCCTTTTCACTCAGTTATTATGTACCATCAAATATCCTTCAGCTGAACATCAGTAATGGATAAACATGTTATCGTTATGAATTGATTAATTAATTTCAAATTCATCAGCTTTCTTCTGAAGTACACGTCATGTGCAAGAATTTTCTGGCACCTTCATTCCTTACATGGCTAGAGAATGATTGATTTCTTCTTTCATACTTTGTGTTACATCTTTGGTGAATGTAACGTTTTATATATCCTTTCACAATTCTTCATTTCCTTTTTGGTCATGCATACCATAATCTTGTTACTCTTGTGATACACAATATATCTTGCCTGTAAATAAATGTTTAAGAAAAGTACTGGTACTGTGAAAATTTCACATTACATGTATTACACTACACTTTTTAGTTCCTTAACTTTAATTTATTACAATAAACATAATCTAATGCTCTCAAGATACTTAAAGTAATTTTGGGGTAACAAACAACAAAAAATGAAATGTCAGACAGTGATGGTCTCTGGGGTCCACAAAGAGTTTTAGCATATAACAGTGATAGGATAATTTCATTTTCACCCACAATTATTTCTTAAATGTTTAGTCATAAAGTTTGTTTGAAAATATGGCACAGATTGCACACAGTCCTTATGCAAGATATGGACCCTTGCCACAAGGGACTTCACCCCTTACTTCACCTGTCACGCACATTGGTTCATACTCCTTTCAAGTTTGAATTTTATATGTTTCAATTTTTGTGTGTGGACTGTCCTGGGTCTAAGCTAATTTAGACCTGCCAAAGGCTAGTAATGTTGTTAGATCTTTCCACAGATTATGATGATTTAAATTTTTTCTGCAAGACTTTATAAACTAGGAAAGACTTCTTTCTAATCATTTCGAGCACAGCCAATGCCAACACTTGGCAGTCATTCATGTGTCATTTTAATGAAACAATAATTGTTTTATCTTTATGAGATCTGTAGATAACAAATGCTATGTGTATTCCTGGTATTCCACAATCCTATACATTTATTTGATTCATTGTCGTACCAAATATCTCTTTGAATCCAAATAGAGGCTTTATCAAAGGAAAGTTATAAAATGTTTCTTTTATCGTAAAATTTGCAGATAATGGATTAATTTATAATTATTGTATATATAGATGTAGGTTAAGATAATGTAGATTTATTTGCATGTTTTATAACAAGCATATCTTTAATTGTGATACTAACAAAGAGATCATATAACCATTAGCTGTAAGTTATGATTTTGTGCCCTTATGGCTGCTTTAATGTGCAGTACAAGATATCAATATATTTATCTACCGGTAGTAAAAATTAGCCAATATTATTACTTTATATACATCTTTGCTGTATAGTTCAATTACAATATTCTTTCTCTGTATCTTTCTTTTGATAAAAGGGTTGATATATTAGTGATTAAGTTGAACCGTTCCTCTTATATTTTTATTGAATAAAGTTTTCATATAGATAACTGTTTATGCACATGGAAAAGCTGAGGACAAAACACATCATTTAATTTATGAGAAGTACAGTACCCTTTCTACAATTAAAATAAATAACAACAGACATACTTAATTATCACTATCATTGCTAATTTGTATGAATACCGAACTACCCCGATAAAAGGCAACTTCTATTCAGGTAGATTTAGGTTTGATTATTATTGGCTGTTGTATTTTTTCTGTAATTGTTTTAACGGATTTAGATTTTGTATGCATGTGGAATATTTAACCAAATTTTTTCATGTTCAACTATACTTTGAACTCAGAAACCGAAAGCAGAAAATGTGTGTCAAATACCTGAATGATAGCCAAGCTGCTAAGAATATGGGAAGTATGATTTGAGTCTCTACTGTTTGTGTCATACTTGAAATAGGGTGGTAAATTGGTACTATGTTTATAGCAAGGTAGGATCAAATCTGTGTAATATTTATGAATATAAAGTTCTTTTTATGACATTTTTGTGAATGTTTAATATTTTGAGGATTATGTCAATATCTAGAAAAAAATACACTGGTGAAAATTTGCTTAGGTAATATACTGGAAAATAAAAAACAAAAATTCAGCTTATAAACAGTTTATGCTAAAGAAATAATTAATTTTTTTCACCCAATGGTTAATTTGTATGTGAACTAAGGAAAGACTTAACTGCACATAAACACATTCATAATCATTTGTGCATGGGTAATTTATGAAATACATAAATGCAGCTTCATTTTGCCTGGAGAAATTATTTATAACCAAAAAAGATAACTAGATTCATGTGATGAGGAAGATAGTATATGTCTATAGTTTTAATTTTGTAACAAAGAAAGCAAATGTGTGTAAATAATTCCTTGCTCATGGTTGCTTACCGTATTGTAAATTCTGTCGCAAATATATACATGTATCACTGTTTCATTCTTTGAAAAAAATTGTATTTTCCTTCTTGTAGATGTCGTAAACATATGTGTTTTCATTGTCTAGTTTGCATTCAAAACTTATAATGGAGACTTTGTTTTTTCTTGTGAAATATATATATCTTTTGATAGTTTTAATCTACTTTCCATTATCTTTGTTACTGTGCAGAATTACCATGTTATAAAAATGTTGGTGTGATTGTTGAATGAAAAGCTGAGTAGAAGACACTTTGCTATGTAATAGTACCAGAGAAGAAAGTATCAATGAAATGAACATATTTGTCATATAAAATAAATGTTATTATAATGATGAATTACTGTGTGCATTGTCTTTTGTGTAACTTTACTCTCTCTCTTGCTCTCATTTTCCCTGTCTTCATCTGTTACAAATACCAAAACGTTATAAAAAAATATTCTAATTGTTTACCTTTTCCAGCCTTGGATGCTGCTCTTTAATTACAATTTCATTCCTGTAGTACATTACATGTATATCGAGCACTTTCAGTTTAATGAAATTTGGAGTGGACTATTAGGCTATTATTATTATTATTATTATTATTATACATATATATATATATATATATATATGTATATATCGCATACATTTTTCTTTCCAGTTTCATTATTTCCCCCAAGTACTGTATTCTCATGCTTGTTACAAGACCATTTATTTCTTGAAACCCATTTCCTGCACATTTTACTAGCACCTAACTCCTAGTCTGATTAATATTTTTTATTTTGTCAGGATTCCATTCCTAATAAATACTTTGATTCTAGTCTAGTATCTTCGCCAATCATCTACATCTACATTTTAATCTCTGGAAATTTTTATTCTTAGCTCCTGTTTTATACACACTGATGAGACAAACAAACAAATCAATACCGGTACATGTGCAGCAGTAATCCAAAGGAGTTGTAATTCATAATGGTGTACACTGTTGGCCAAAGATCATTCAACAAAAATTACTATTTATTTAATACCTTCATTGCCCATGGCTAGGAATACGTAATGTTATCGAGTATCAGAGATCACGAAAAGGAATACCTTCAACAGAATGGTAATTTAACAATGAAGTCAACAATACCATTATTTCTCCCGTTTTGATTAAAATCTCCACAGCAAAGTGAATAAATATACCATATATATCATTGTAACATCCCTAACAAAAGTTAAATTGCCAGGCCCTAAGTTTTTTTTTATAGATGTAATAAGTTAATGTACACGTAGATGCATGTTTTAATGCTCTTATGTTTGTTCTATAATAAAATACAGTGAAACCTAAACATAAAGACCACTCAAGGCCAGGTAGACAACAAAAATGGTCTATAGATGCAGGTGATCTTTATATACAGGTTTGAGAACACTGCTCAAAGGAATCTTAAAATATGGTCTTTACAGACAGGTGGTTGCTAAAACAGGTTTTTCTGTATCACAACTAGAGTACCGGTAAATAGGGTTATACTTGATGATTTGTTTAAAGTGCAGTAATCATATTCAATTAATTTTCAATTTATAGGTGTACAATTTTATCAATACAAACAAATATTTTGAAACCCTATTGACCCATATCAAACCGGATGTTCATTCTTTTTAAAACTGGCTGTTCATCATTTTGGTTAGCTTTTTTTTAAATGGTATACTGTACAACACACTTCTATAAGTTGTATACGTAAACTCTACCATTCCAATCACATTCCTCTTACTGTTTCAAAAACTTGTTTTCCTGGCCAAATGACTCTCTGAACGACCATTCATCAACATCCTAGTCATCTTGGTCATTATAAACGATGAAAGAGATTAAATAACAATCATACAGGCAAGATAGTGTTTTGAACATCCCTTTAATGCATACTACCTGTCCATCAGTGCAGAGTGGAACATACAGGGTTTAAACCTAGGTGCATGTGATTAGTTTCTAATATCAGGCACTATGTTTATCTGTACAATGATACATACACAATGTATATATACCAACATTACATTTATTTCAATAACAGATTTCAACTTTGATAAAATATATACTTTGCTATAATATGAAGCTATGATACAGCTGCGATTGATAAGGCATATTTATCTTACCATTCTACGTAGTGAACAATTTTTGAAAGAGAAGCTGCAATATAGAAACAGCAGCTAGAAGACACTTTGCATGCACTTACTTGTATGCACAATTATTGTTACAGAGAGGAAGAGAAACCTAACATATCCATGGCAATCATAAACTCCTGCAATCAACAAGACTGACCTGTTTATAAAAACGCTTCATGACCCACAAGTTTTAGGAAACTTAATTATTTTGTAGATTGACTGTGTCCTGACAACAAGATTGCTTATTTATACATTATTACAACCAACAGTTCATCAGATCTTCCATTTCTTATTTTTGTTCATGAAAACTGGGTTGAACAAATATAATCACATAAATTTAGGTGATGTTTCAGTTTGCATGATTGAAAAATTAAGAGATTTATAAATGTCTCAAAACCCCAACATTATTGTTCATCATTCCCTCACGAAAGAATGAATATTGTGAAGGATTTAGATTTGTGCAAAGTGGCTTGTCAATTTTCTTGTAATCATAATTTACAGGACTATAACAACTTGAGTTGAGTCTCACCATACACAAGACGCCATCTGAATTGCTGAAGCATGGCTAAATATTTCCTTGTAGATCATCACATTTTTATACTGCTGCATTGAAGCTTCTTTTATCTCCAATGTATACAAGTTAAAAACTCTTTAAAGTTATACAACATAACTGATCATATGCAAATGCTATAATTTGCCTGATGATATTACAGGTTCATGTAGATTTACATTGAGAATTTCCTCCAGATAACTTGCGTTAAATTAATCTTGCCATAATTGGATTTTTTAAACTAAACCTGTTAGTTTTACTCTGTAAAACTTTGTATCTTTCAAGATTAACTAATCCCATAAGATCATCTCCTGGCTGATCTCCTTGTTGTTTGAGACTGGCCAGTATAGTTTCTCTGGTATTCTGTCATCCATAGTGTATCGTCGGGAGGCGACACGTTGAACGCAGCACGCAGCCGTCTCGTCTTCAGATTCTCTCG